AAATGCATGAAAGTTTCTCCCTTTGTTATCTCATGTAATAATAACAATTAGGCCAGGAAAGTTTGCAACATTTTATCAGCTCCTTCTCTGGAGAGAAAGATCTATGGCACATAAGATGATATCAGTGGGGATGAAAATGACATTGTACAGGTCATTGAGTTTGCTGAAAGGGTGTACTGATCCAAAAGCATAATGAGAGAACTACATCGTTTGATCCTAAAGTTTAGACGATGAGTAAGAACTGCATCATCAAAAGAAAGAAGGGGAAAACACAGTTGAGACAAAACTGTTTACAAAAGTACTTCCCCAAAGAATCATTTACACTCCAAGTAAAATTCCCCCTCTATCATCACAAGAGGATAATGCATGTCCATGTAGACGTGTATACACACTCTTGCACACCCCCTGAAATGCATTTGTCAGCTGTACCAAGTCTCCATGCAGAGGCACACATGGGTCTGTTTCTTGTTTAGTAAGGAGGTTAAAATAACAAAAGCCAAAGCAAGTTCATCATCAGGACCTTAAGCAGGGTCTGTCTAGGCATTTACACGTGTCCCTTACAGTTTCCCCACATCACCACACATTAAACCATTAAGCCACTAGCCACTGAGCTTTGTGAGAGTGTGTGTCTGTGTTCTGTAACTCTGCAGTGGGAAAATAAGATATGGAAAACAGACTGAACCAAATAGCCGACAGACGGGAGGAGAGTAATTTGAGAGTCATTAAGAGAAGCTAGCAGGCGCAGTGAAGTCATCTTGAGCCTTTCCAGGCTTCAGCCAAGTACCAATACAGTTGATGATAATGGACCAGCGTCTACAACCTCTTTGAGTGGTGTGCATAGACACACACACACACACACCCAGATAGCTCAAGCTAAACACACATAACAATGCTACTGCCAAAACATTTGCATACCTGAGAACTAAACCAACATGTCTTTCCCATAGTGTCTTTATCAATACGACAGGTCATCATCAACAGATGTTTGAGTTGTGCCTGATATAAACATCTCCAACCAGCAGGTTAAAAAAAATAATAATCCCATCTTGTTCCCATCACTTACTTGCATGAGTTTCCTTGACAGTTCATTGGTGAGAAATTCCTCCTCCTTTTCATAGTTGACCGCCAAGGTCTCCTTCTCCTTTTGAAGGGCCTGGATCTTCTTAAACAACGTGTTGCTAATAAATTCTTCCTCCTGCTCTGCTCTTGCTTGCTGCAGAAACAAACGGAAAAATGAGAGAGAGAGAGAGAGAGTGGCAGAGGCAAGCGTTAAGTGAAATACAATTGTGGATCTGTTGGGATTTTCACATGTACAGACTTGATGAACTGTAGCCATCAATGGTGCATGCACGCTGCTGCTGCACCACAACAGCAAAAAAAAAAAAAAAAGACACGCATCAATCAGCCAAAGTCTGCTGCAGTGAGGTGTGTTAGCCAAAGAGGAAGGAGACTTTTCCATAATGACTCAAGATGATAATGTTGTAATGGATGGCTGACAGTAATATGAAGAGTCAGACATGGGTGTTGGGACAGGATACGACTGCACCAATGTAAAATGATGCATCCTCATCCTTTTTATTTTTAAAGAGTTGAACAACAATGACAATAGCAAGCACACATCTAGTTAAGCCGTACACATGCACAGGAGGAGGAGGAGGGGGGGGGGAGGCTGCACTGTGTCTGACTTGACAACACATGAGCCTGGCGTTTTACTAGCTCGCTTAATTTTGGCCTACATACTTCCCTATCCATCCAACCAGATCGGTTACACATTTTTTATGAAGCTGGAGTTGATTAACCTGAGCATGCAGACATATGACGCATCGGCCCAACGCTGCCTGTGCAAGCTGAGCACTTTTCATATCCTGATGGTCACAACGTTGGGTGACAATGTTGTGAACTAACAGTGAAGCTAAAAGCACTCCCGTAAACTTCCACTAACGATGCACACACACACACACACACCTCTGTTTCAACGCTAGATTAGCAACGCAAAGCAAAACAAAGCGAAACACAACTGGCCCAGCTACCTAGCAACCCCCCCCCCACCCACCACCCCGAAGTCCGCTGGCTAAATTAGCAAGATATCCTCCACGCTAATGCAAAAGAAGCTGCTAGCACAACACTGACACGCTGTGTTCAAATTAAGATAACATGTTTATATTACACATTCTACGAGGCGATATTGACCATTTAACAACAAACATCCAACAGTAGCCATAGCTAACTAACTGATAAATGCAGTATTATAGGTGGCGTGGGGAGTAGGGAGGGAGAAGGGGGGGGGGCAGGTTGAAGCTAGCTAGTTAGCGAGCTAACGTTACTCACAATGGTGACGCTAGCTTTGCGGAGGTCCCGATTCTCCTCCTGCAGCGCTTTACACTTGAGTTTGAACGTTTCCAGCTCAATTTTAAGAACTTTATTCTCTTGTTGTAGCGAGGCGAGGCGGTTCGTCAGCTCCTCCAGGCGGAACTGTGAAATGACTACGCTCGGTTTTCCCGAATTTGAAGCGGAGGACGACATCGGGGTGGCCGAGCTGCTGCCCGCTCCGTCCGTGTCGCTCTCGCTTGCGCTGTCCGCCATGGCTGTGCGACAGTGTGCAGCGGAGAGAAGAAGACTACGGCAGCTGCAGCGTTCGTTTGAGCAGCGCAGACAAGCAGAATGGTACACAGTGTGACCTTGCTCTCGCGTTGTCGACACAGCACCACCACCCGGCTGTCTCCAGTACCGCCCCAATGCATCATTGAACGCAGGAAAAAAGATTGATTCATCTCTACTCCACCCCAAAAAACTGTGTTTCTAATTCTAACCGACTTAGTGGGTGACTCAAAATGTGTCTTTATTCTGAACGGGGCCAACATCTGCTTCCTTGATATTTAGAATAGAATAGAATTACTTTATTGATCCCAAACTGGGAAATTGTGGCGACACAGCAGCAGGTTATCCAAGCACACAATATGAGTAAAAAAACCCCACAATGTTAGCAATCTAAACACAATATAATATTAAATACATTAAGTACTAAAGATATCAAAAATAAGAATGAATGTGAATATATACAATCAGGATTTAACTAAGCATTACTAGGAAGATTAAATATGAAAGATTAAATGTAAATGTGCAAAAACAGAGTTGTAAATTAAATATGAAAGATTACATGTAAATGTGCAAAAACAGAGTTGTAAATTAAATATGAAAGATTAAATGTAAATGTGCAAAAACAGAGTTGTAAATGGTTGTAAATTAAATGTGAAAGATTACATGTAAATGTGCAAAAACAGAGTTGTAAATTAAATATGAAAGATTACATGTAAATGTGCAAAAACAGAGTTGTAAATTAAATATGAAAGATTACATGTAAATGTGCAAAAACAGAGTTGTAAATTAAATATGAAAGATTAAATGTAAATGTGCAAAAACAGAGTTGTAAATTAAATATGAAAGATTAAATGTAAATGTGCAAAAACAAAGTTGTAAATAGTTGTAAATTAAATATAAAAGATTAAATGTAAATGTGCAAAAACAGAGTAGTAAATGGACAGTATTGACATAAGTTAAAGTGCATGAGTGTAGACATATTATCAGCAGAAACTATACAATATAACGGAGAGTAGACAGCCAAATGAAGTGAACATGAGTGCAGGGATAATTTGTAAATTTAACATGTGCAGAACAGATTACAGTATGGAGAGACAGATATTATCATGATGACAGTTCTCTGCTCGCATGAGGTGAGCTGTTGTTCTGTTTGACAGTGGCTTCTGACTTCTATCGAAGTTTTCAACCGCATCTCATGTTTTTCTGGCAAAATAATCCTGTAGCCATGTAATGGTATTATATCAGATCACATTGTTACAATGTATTGTTTAGAATAGAAGAGAATTACTTTATTGATCCCAAACTGGGATATTGTGGCGTTACAGCAGCAGGTTATCCAACACACAATATGCATAAAAAACACAATGTTAGCAATCTAAACACAATATAATATTAAATACATTAAGTACTAAAGATATCAAAAATAAGAATGAATGTGAATATATACAACCAGGATTTAACTAAGCATTACTAGTCTTAAATAGGAAGATTAAATATGGAAGATTGAATGTAAATGTGCAAAAACAGAGTCGTAGATGGTTATAAATTAAATATGACAGATTAAATGTAAATGTGCAGAAACAGAGTTGTAAATGGACAGTATTGACATAAGTTAAAGTGCATGAGTGTAGACATATTATCAGCAGAAACTATACAATACAACGGCGAGTAGACAGCCAAATGAAGTGAACATGAGTGCAGGGATAATTTGTAAATTTAACATGTGCTATATTCATTTCTGAATATTTATATCTACTCAAAGTGCCACAAAGAGGCACTTCATATAGTCCTACAGATAATGTAGTCCTACAAATAATGTTTGCCCTTGGCCAAAGAAGAATTATCTTGACATAATCAGATTGCAAAATAAGGAAAATGTGAGTAGGCTATGTTTGCTACATGTATACTCAGTAGAAGGCAGAGCAAATGTTTTATTAACAGCTATTTAGTAAACACAAACTAGTGTAATCATCATCTGCATAACATATTCACCTAATATGGGCTATGAAATATTGATAAATCAGACATTTAACAGACATGACAGCTAAGAAACAATTTCCCTGTTATATCGGCTTGTGTGTGTGTTTGTGAGAGAGTAAATTAAAGGCAAATGGACCAGTGCTTTGGAAAAAAAGTGCAACATAAATATAGTCCATTAATTACTTATCCAAAATTAACCAGTCACATCTTTTCTGGGAACTCTGATTCCCTCTTCTCACAAGGCGTCACAAGCAGCATTAACAGGCAGCTGTGGAGAACATTCCTCAAGAACATTTTGGTAGGGAAGAAGGATATGACTGATGCTGAAGGGCAGTGATTCTGTTGACATAATCACTATCCTTCTGCCATGGCATTACCAGCATTAAAAATATGTATTCAAGAAAGAAAAAAAACAGACACAATTATATTGCGAAATCAATGCATTTTTATTTTTTTTTTCATTTTTAGGTTGATTTTTTTTTAAAGACGTCTGAAACATTTGTGGTGGCATCATTGCTGCTATAGCCTCTAAAAGACCTTGAATAACCAAAGTGCTAGAATAGTTACATTTCAATGGCTTCACTCTTGTTAGTAAGAATTGTACATCAAAAAATCTGCTCAGGTGAAAACACATATCAAACAAAATTGACAAAAATTGATAGTTCAACCATATCAAAGGATCCTCTACCCCCTGATTGACATAGTAGTATAAGGGGATGTGGTACAGCACCCTACCTGACTTCCTTGAAACCCCCCCTAGCCCCTCAAAAAAAACAAAAACAAACAAACATAGTTTTCATGTCCACAGCATAGACATCAGCATACTGAGTCATCTCACCAGTAGAACACCACACTTGAACTGCATGGGCATCTAATGAAATCCAATACAAAGATAATCCTTTATGTAATGTAAAGTAAGATTTTTTGCCAATGATCTAGTGAAAACAAGTCTATTCGACACTGCATATACAGACTCTCAAGCCTAAAAAGATCACACAGTTTCAGAGTTAAACACAATTTATTTAATGTTTAAATAATTGCTTTTGACCATCCAGTGTTTTTGTCATACAATATGCTATTTAGATCTACAATCAAATAATGTTTTTATGTGTCCTTAATGTGAGTAGCTTTTAAATTAAGGAAACAGTTCACCAAAAAATCCAAAATGAAATGCCCCAGTTTTCCTTAAATATCACAGCAGCGGTTAGAAAACCAAATTGACACACTGCTAAAATGATTACCAACAGTCTAACAGTGTACAGAGACTCCTACACCTTATAGCCAATACGCACGATACAGTTATAATTTTACAGCGAGCCAGCCTACTAGCATTTACATTCAGATTAAATCGTTCTCTTAGCAGAAGCTGCCCTCTGTTTTCACAAGACAGACAAGACATAACACCCTCAAGAAGCTATAGTTCTTTTTCCATCCTCACCCCAACATGATTAATGTTTAATGGTACCCCTTTTCATTTTAAAATATAAAATTGGTGACAAATGTGAGGGCTATATGTGTACACAGATAAAGGGTTTTATTTGTCGTTTGAATACAGTGTTTGCAAACTTGTAAAAATTTTACTTAAAATAATGTGAACAGCATGCATGAAAACATGAGAACTCTGAAAGGCTGCTTTTTGTAGGATTAGATCCATTACTGAAAAGTGATTTTCTGGAAAGTTCTGTTAAAATCAAACTAGCTGTTTTTTTTCCCATGTACAAACATTATACCAGCTCTAATAATTAATTATACAAGAACCTGTGAAGTTACACTCAAATCTTTAAAAGTGGAACCAATTCAATAAATTTTGAAAGCACTTGAAAAGGTAACTCTCCTTAGTGCGTTCTCAACCAGTCACTTATCCCCTTTTTAAAGATTTTTACACATCGTCATTTTATATACAGAAAAAAGCTTTTGTGTTAGTTTAAGTTTTAAAAAGGAAGAAAAAAATCCCAAAACAATTTACATCTTGACAACAATGGGTTCAAGAAAAAACTATAAGGCGAGTGTTGAAGTTGTATCAGAAGTGTTCCGTTTTGTTTTTGTGTTATTGTGTCTACTTCTTTCCTTCCACCCTCCATGTGGATTGAGCTCTTGTGCCATCTTTGGTCACAGTTGCACCTGTGTGGTTGTCGGTCAGGGGAGTCTTTTTTCCCCCCCAACTCATTTTCACAGCAAACAATGCTCCTTTCAAAGGCTCTCACAACACTGGTGGACCGAAGACACGTTGTTTCACACAAAAAGCAGGAAGCAGAATCATTGTCCATGGGTCCACTACAGTCAGAAAGTGAGAACCCCCCCCCCCCCACACCTCAGTCCTCTGATTGACAGGCGGGTGAGTTTTTCATGCTCATGCGTTTAGTCAGAAGGGTCGACTCCTCTTGTGTGAAAACCGTTTGTTTGAAGCAGATTGTTGCGAACTGGACTGTGTCTGAAGTCCTCACAACGGAACCCTTCAGCCCTCTGAACACCTCACACCAGGAACCATTTCATTTGGTTCCTGCAGATCTGTAAGACACAAAATAGCACCAGACATATTATATTACAGTAAATCACGTTAAGTTAGATTTATAGTGTCAGGAATAGAACAAATATGCTTCCCAAAGAATGTGCCAATACCCCCAATAACTATGGAGGAATTCATTCAAACCATTAAACGAGGCACTTGGTCCTGAGATTTTAAAGACATTTAATGCTGCTATTGCCACAAGACAGTCACAAGACCAATGCTGGTCACTAATGTCACTAATTACACGCACATTAAAAAAGGGGAAAGACCCACTAATGTTTACAAAGATTTTTTTGCATTTACAGTGAACAATGTCATATCAACCATTATTCATTTTGTTTTGTTAAAGGCAGGACCTCTTCAGATAGCCTCAAACGCCTCTTGTGTCTAGTCTGGACTACTGAAGACCTAAACAACCAAATAGCTGCACTTCCTTTAGCACTTCATCGCGTTAGCTGGAGCTATTTAAATTTCACTCATGAAGAATTTGGATTTGGAACTTTGTTTCAAGATGTAATCAAATCATATATAAATTGTCAAAATCTATAGTAACAACTAATGGTTTGAGATCAACTGCTTTCCCGGTAGATCTTTGAACAAAACAGGGTGACCCACTCTCACCACTTCTCTTCATCGCAGAAGCTCTAAGGCTAAATGGAAAATAACATGTTCATTTGGATTTGGTCAACTAGTTTTCAATTATCTCCCAGTAAAAAAATTTAAACCAAATGTGAAGGGATGCCTTCATCTAAGTTCTGCTTCAAAAGTCATTTTCAAAACTGTAAATTCCAGTGGGTCACATACAATCTCAAAACTTTAGGTATATTTCTGAACCCAGAACTTGAATAATTGTATCACACATGTACAACTTCTTCTACAGTGATGGGGTAAATTACAGATTTCATAAACGAAACTTCCTTCTAAGCATACTGCCACTTAGTATCACAACATCTATAGTCAGCACTTCAGATAAAATGATTAGTCAACTCATTTAGGCTGGGAAAAGAGCTGGAGTGAAACTTAAAAGACTCCAGGCTAAAATAGATTACGGAGGAATGAAACTCCCTAACATGAGACTCTATCAGGAAGCCTTCCTCGGTGCGCAGACAGTATCACTTCTGCTAAATAGAGAAAATAGACCTGTGTGCTTAGATCTGGAGGATGAACTGAACGCCCAATTTAAGGCTGTTGACTACTTGAGCCAATGTCCAAAGACTACTACCCAAAATCCAATGATTTCGCACACTAAAAATATCTGGCTTCATATATTTACAGGAAAGAGGTGTCATCATGTCTTCGATTTGGAATAACCCAAAACTGAAAATAGGAGGGAAGATTTTCTTCCGGAAAGAGTGGCACTCGAAGGGGAGGGAGAACATTGAATGTCTTTATTGTAATAATATTTTAGAACATTTGAGGAACTAAAAGAAATCTTTAAGCTGCATAGCAAAGACTTATGGAGGAACCTCCAGTTAAGAGAATGCCCATCTTAAAGGCAAGTTCATCAGTCACCAGGCTGCCAATCAGATCCCCTATACACTCCAGATTTAAATGTATTACCTATTATCATTTATTACCTTATTTGTATTTGTAAATCATTTGGTACATAATCATGTATGTAGAAGTCCTTCTGAATGAGTATTTTCTGTTGCCCAGATTGTGTTAACGTGTCTGATTATTTATTGTATTTCTACTTTCTCCTCTTTTCACCATTATGAAGAAGTGACTGCATGAAAAATGTTTGACAATTCTGTCTTTGGTCTTTGAAGGAAACAATACAAATCAAAGTGAAAAAAAATAATCTGCGATTTATACAAACGTAAATATTTTTGAATGAGGAAGAATTATCCTCAAATTCAACCTTTAATCTACAAAAGAACCGTTAATCTTGGAGTGAAAACACTTTTTAAAGCGCATGAGATCGCCACAATCCCCAATTCTTTTGTATGACGAGCTGATGAATGTTAACTAGACCTGATGGTGTGTGGGATTTTAAGGTGACCTCTGTTACCATGGTAACTCTCTGTCATACCTCACAGTAGTGCCATATTATTTCTGAGTCAGTTTTTTGTACAGATGGAGTGATTCACTGCAAACCCAACATAAGCGGTGGACAGCAACAGGGATTAACAGTCTGGCCAAGGGGATAACAAACTCTTTTTGGAAGCCACAATGCTATTGTGAGTCGGGGATTTAGTTGACAAAAACAGGCATGGAGGATATGAGCAGGGCAATATAATGCTGAGGTGAGTAGCATCCATCAGCTCTGTTCTCTGTACAAACACATTCAGTGAAACAAAGATGGCAGAAATGTTGCCAGAGGATAACCAGGCTCAGACATCAGTCAGCCTTTTGCACTGAGTCTGTGTGACAGTGCAACTATCTGGAGAGGGGGGGGGGTAAATAAAGGAACTTAAAAAAAAAAATTGTTTGGCTTTCTTCTCTTGAGTTAGATGAGAAGATGATACATCTTCCTTTATTAAGACCTTAGCTGGAGCTTTAAGGTATTAGCTTAGCATAAAGACAGGAAGCACAAGAAAAGAGCTAGTTTCGCTCTGTCAGAATTTATAATATGAAATGTAAAAAAAAACAACTCCAAATCTCAGTAATAAACAAACTGTATATTTTTTGACTAATTAAAAAAGAACTTTTTGTAGAGTTACATGGGGTTCCCATGAAATCAGAAAATATTTTTTTTTACTGTCAACCTAAAGACTTATTTTCAAAAATGTTAAACAATTATTCTGCACTAGCAGGCATGAAAGTGTGTTAGCAACCAATGTAACACTTCCTTATAATTGTATGTCTCTCCTCCTGTGACATTTATCTGACAGTTCAAACCCATACCAAAAATGTAATTATGTTTGTCTATGTATCTGTACATGTGGTTGTATGTGAATGTAATAATATAACAAACATTTGACAGTAGAAGATCTGTCTGCAGATAAGTAGTGGCACAATATCTGCTAATGAAGCCAAATAAAGAGCCTCTGTAGAATATAGAAATTGGGTTGGCGCAGAGGAAAATGTAGTCATATTCAAAAGAAGGAAGCACACTGATAAAGGGGACACTTACACATAGAAACATAAAACACATCATTTGACAACCACATGGACAACAAACCAGGAAATAGGAGATCATGTTATCAAGACAGAGAGTGAACTACTGTACCTGGTAGAGCAAAACCATCCCTATGAGTGGAGCTTTTTGTCCCCTGATCTTCTGTCATCCTTTCGCCTGCTATTCCTCGACCCCTCTCCTTGCTGGAAAACACAAACATGCACAGAAATAGTTGAGAAGCTATATTCTGATGCTCTGATAGGTGGAGAAAAAAAAGTTGTGACCCAACACAGAAAACCTGTAAAAAACTTGAGGTAAAGGAACAAAAATCTCCACACACTGCAGGAAGAGCAATCTAAAAAACTAGTAGATGTTAGTAGAAGCTCAGTTGATAGGAATTTAATCAGCACCAAACCAAACAACAACCAGACACCTGGAAAAATAAACAAATATCAGATATTATGAAATGAGTTAGGAACAAAAGAGGCAGATTGTGTTTTCACAGCAGAATCACGACACGCATTAGTCATACTGTTGACTAATCGGTTAAACACTTGAAAGAGCAGTAAAATCACACAGCTAGGAGCAGAGTCAGCACCCTCTTTGTTATGCAATACAATAGACCCTGTCAAAACAAAACATGCAAGCATGCACTTCAAATGAATGCATTTATTGTTTGTGTTGTGTCCAAAGAGACATAATGAGGACACATTTTTAAAATCCAGTTTGATCCAGTGTTAATCCGAAATTCACCTTGAATTGATGGAGGGATGCATAATCAAATCCAACGGATCCTTTATTTTTACTCAATTGTTTGACTTCAAGCTGAACTCAGAAAGCAGAGATGTTACTCATAAGTAACAGATGTCAGTAAACTCTGCTGTTTTAGAGACAATAATTATTCCCTTTACCTCTACAGCCCAAATGACCTCAAAAATAAACTTCAATGCTAGGAATGATGTTTTTCAAATGCTTGACAATGTAACAGAATGTTTTAATTCTGTATCAACAAATTTCCCCCTGGGATTAATAAAGTATTTCTGATTCTGATCTTCATGTTCCAACGCTTCAGTTAATTTCTGTGCAGCTGGGTGAAAAAAAAAGAAAGGGGGACCAGAGTTTTATGGTTACACCTAATATTAAACATCATATGGAAGATTATTTACAATTCTTCTTGTTTTTCATTACCTATTTCCAATCTTATACACAAGTTGTTAATATGCTGTGGATTTGAACAATGCTTGGCCCTGAAGAATGACTAGATCTGCTGCTAGGTCATTGGGGTTGAAGAGGTTTCTTTTTTAGTGAGATGAGGAAGCTCTTTGTTGTTATTTGACTCTTTTGTGATGAAGGCAGATCAAACACGTGTTTTTTCACTTAAGTCTTGCCAAGTGCAGCTTCAAATCTAACGCTTGCATTCGCTTTATACTTTTTACGATCATGTCCTCCTCACAGCTGATGTTTTCTGACGGAAAATCATCCCATCTTAATAAGCCTTAGAACCCAGGAACACAGTTAAAGGGGGGCGTTCATGCCAACCTCTGGTCCGTCCTCCTGCAGGATGGGACTGTGCTGAAGGTCTCTGAGCCACCTGTCCCCTCCTTGGTTATCTGGCGTGGGAGTAGACATCCGCCGTATAACCTTTCTGATTACCTGCGCCGTGTAGAAGGGTGTTGACAAAGGAGGACAAGATTTGTCAAAGTCTGCTATTATAAAAAAAAAAAACCATGAAGCTTCTTGTGAAAGGTTTGACATCAGAGCTGGGGATGTAAACAAAACAATACGTTACTTTTCTACTGATGAGGTTACCATCCCGGTCCATATAGTGTTCCTCTGTCATAGTCTCCCCTGGGATATTCTTAGCTTCTTCTCCCTGCAAGTGTTTGTGGTTAGCTCATGAGTAAAGGCACACAAAGGGCCGATTCAAATAATAAGATAAAACAACCCAACACCATCACCACACCAAAGGAAGTTCCTTGAGGAAAAATGTCAGTAAGAGGTAGCTGACTATGTTAGTCTTCAACAAGCAATAATACCTTTCAATTTGACAGGTTCAATAAATATGTACACAAACATATCTATGAGCACAAAGAGATTAAAAATATCAGTACACCAAGAAAAACTACACCAGACTCTAACCCAAACCAGACCAAACAACCCAAGCCAAGGCTAAATCCACCTTCTGCACCAGGCTTCAAGGGTACCTTTAAAATGAGACGGCGTCGGAAGATTCTGGTAGTTACAGTCTGTTCTTCCTCTGAACCGGAATCTACACTAACATGCTGCTGAGGAACGTATTGTAAGTTCATGAAAAATACAAAGGAGGAGAAAAAAAAAAAGAACACAAATGGGCAAGAAAAGAAGTTAATAAAAGGCATTTAGCAAATGTCCAGTTTGGCTGTCACAAAAAAAAGGGATCCTGAAATAAAACAATGAAGTTTATGTTTCTTCACAAGTTTCTCCTTAAAAGAAAATAACAGACTCACAGTGCAACATACTTTGGTATCAACAAAATATAAAAGATTCAATGTACACTCTGTTTAGGGTCAATTCAAAAGGCCTTTCTAAGCATTACCTGAACTTTTTTCTCGGACACCAGTGCTCCTTCTTCCTTTTTGCCATTTGATGATTCGGATGAGCCGCCCTGAGGTGAGTGCTTTGAGTTGTCGCCGTTGTGCCGGGACCTCCCTGATTCGCCCCTTGACGAGGAAGTGATGGAGTCACTGGAGTTCTCTTGGCTGTGTGGAAAGAAAACAGAATTAGCATCATAGTTGTAGGAGTTGAAAAAAAATCATAATTAATAGATTTGACATTAAATACTTCATACTTTGAAGCTTATAGTTTTATAACCTTGTACCTTTCCCGCCTGTCGAGCAGGTCTGAGCTGACACTACGGCCTGGCGTTGGCGGTTCAACATTGACGCTCGATGAATCGCTGTGCCAACCTGAAAGTGAACACATGTCTTTTTCTGCCTGTTCAACCTGATCGAGAGTCTCCTGAATACTGGCCTTGATCATCTCTTCGTCCTCCTCATTTTCCTCTGAGCCATCTTCTTTCTTGACCTCCTCACACAGAGATCCTAACGGCTCTTCTGTGATTTCTGTGTCTCTCGCTTCCTCCTCCTCCTCCTCCACCTCCTCGTCATTGGACCCAGAATCCCTCGGCTGACGTTCCTCAAGTGCCTCAACCCAGGCCTGAGGGGAGAGAGGACTGACAACCTCCTCCTGGGCTGTTTCGTCCACTTCCAATGTCTTGCAAATCTCTCCTTCACTGCCGCACAACCGTTCTATGCCCTCAAACTGCAGCTCTCCATCTGTGTCATCTATTCTGTCATCCTCGTAGACCCTGTCCTCACTGCCCCCATCAACATTTTGAACCTCAGGTGTTACATTAACACACTCTTTTTTATCACCGTTTTCCACTTCATACCCAATTTTTATGATTTTATGCTGTTCTTCGCACAGATTTTGCACACCTCTTTCCTCTTCTACCTCACAGTGTTCCCTGTTATTCCCATCTTGCAGCTCATTTGCCACAACGTTCTCTTCCTCTGCAGATCCATCCTTCTGTTCCAACAAAATGCTGATGGTTTCTTCTGCCACCGTCAGCCTATCTGTTGTAACCATCTCACACTTTCTGTCAACATTTTGTATTAAGTCCTGCTCCATCCACTTTTCCACTGAGTACTTTCCCTCCGATAACTCTGCTGAAACCATCTCGGCAACCTTCTGTATGTCTTCTGTCACATTCTTTTCACCTCCTTTCAAATCTACAACCTCTTGTGCCCTATTGGGAGCACCCATCTGCGCTCTTTTGTGTCCCATTAGTAATCTGTCAGGTGATGAAGGGGTGATGGATGATATTGATGAGAGTGAAGGGGAGGATGTGGAGAAAGCCATGTCAATGTCTGAGTCAAACATGGCAGGGAAGGAGCGTGACCTGGGCCTGTGGCTCAGCTCCATTTCTTGATAGGATCTGTCCTCCTCCTCACTCAGAAGCAGCTGGTCGTTCAGGGCAATGTGGGGCTTGTTGACCTTAGGAGGAACAGTATCTGGGATGTCAAATACTGGGAAGGACAGGGCAAGCTCACAGGGTCTGGGGGGACTCCTAGGGGGGCTGTCAGGTTCTCCGCTACCGGGCTCTATCCCTGGGCTCCAGGGCAGGGGCTGTGGCTGCTGGGAGTCCGCCAACAGAGGGGTGTCTGGTTCTGGGTAACAGTGGTAGTGCTGGTTGGGATCAAGGGAAGGATTGGGGGTGACGGGGAGTTCGGGCTCCAGGAAATTGGGGTCAGAGTTCAGTGCAGCGGGGGACTGCAACTCCGCTAAAATGCTCTGATAATCTGTAGGTGACAGGATGACAAATGTAGAGACAAACACACACCGAAGCATGCCACAACATAATATAACACCCCACAAACACACACATCCTAACACATACACCGTATGACATGGAAAATGGCACCAGAGACTTAAGTTTGAAGCATGTTTCTAGACAACCAGAGAGAATGTATGCTGATATGTTTGCAGGAACTAAATCATTTCAGAATGACAAAAATCGATACCAAACATACGCAGTAAAGTAGAATAACAAAGCGATATACACTTTACTGAATATGTTTGCTGTGTCATATTCAACCCAAATGGTAATTCATAAGTCAAATATAAAATATGCATACTCAAATGATCAGAAAAGTTATGTTCTTGAGTAGTTGTATTTTTAATGAGCTTTTTATGAGTGGGACACACTTGTGACATTATTTCTTAATCATGTAGCGTGGGATGTGATGAGTGTAAAATGTTAATATTTGCAAGGGTGTCCTGTTACATGCTCACATGAGATAGTTGACAGATGAGAGATGTCAGAAGGTAAGAGACAAAAAGATGAAGGACAGAGCAGGCTAGATTAATATTTCCATTGTGGAAGGGTCAACACGGGAAGCAGTGGGAGGTGGAGAGATTGAGGGTGCAAAGTTACACTGGCAAGCAGGACAGGGAGACAGAGAGCGAAGAGGAGGGGAGGAAGGAGTTGGGCTTGTACAACGGGACCCAGAGGGGGAAGCGGGAGGAAGGCAAGGAGACAAAGAGAGAGGGGAGACAGGTCGGGAGGAGGGGACCAACTGGGTGATTACAGACTCTTTGCTGTGAGAGGTGATGAAAGATGGTGAGGCCCTGTCTGAAGGAGAGGAAGGGAGAGGTGACACAGGTGTAGAGATGGGTTCTGATTGGTTAAGGGCATCAGCGGACGATGCGGTGGTGACTTTGGCATGTGTGGTAGTAGAGTCAGAAGGAGCAGAAGTATGCAGGTCAGAGGTAGATCCAGATAATGTATCAGAGGAGGTGTTGGGTTCTGTTTGCGAGGGGTTTGGAGTCGGTGCGGTGAGCCTTGGGGAGCCTGGGACAGAGTTGGGAGAGGGGGGAACCGAGATAGCTGAAGATGGAAAGGGTGGAGGGGAGCAAGGAACAGGTGAGGTAATGAGGGGGATCGGGGACGATGGGTGGGGCGAGAAAGGGAAGGCGGGGGATTGACGAGGGTCAGCAGTGGGGGACAGAGGCTGGAGGCATTGAGAAGAAGGGGAGAGGAAGTTAAAATGTGAAGGTTCAAACGGCGCTGGAGGTGCCAAGTCTTTGAGGGAGATGGAGGATTCGTAACTCGGAGAGCGGCGCGAGGACAGGGGGCGGTAGTGTAGTGCGGTAGTGGGTGGAGGAGTTGGGGTCGGCGTTGGAAAACAGGGGGAGTAAGTCGGAAGGAGAAAGACAGATTGAGTGCTACCGGGAGTTAAAGGTATGATAATGCAGACTAAGGAAAAGGAATATAGCACGATATATGAAGAAGAGATAAAAAGAAAGTGGAAAAAAAAATGAAAATGTCATAATGTGAACCATGCAAGCACAACAATACAATGAGTGAAGTACATGACTGAGGGTGAGGATGAGAAGGCATGGGAGGGATGGATGAGGACGGTCAACACATGACTCTTAATTTGTTAAGAGCTGTTATGTGCCGTTATCAGCAGTGGATACTGCTACAGGGAGGTGATGGGAGGCAGGAGGGACAGGAGGAGGAGGCAGTCTGGTTTCACAGAAGAAGAGATGCTCTCATCTATCAGAGGAAGGCTCAGAGGAACTGGAGGAGAACTAAGAGAGCTAGGCTACGCTAAATCAATAGAGGAAAGCAGACTCTACAGGGTTAAGTCATTTTTACTCAAGTCAGACATTATTGATAAAAACATGAAAAGTAGTGTCTAGTATGCAACATGCATAGAATAGAATTTTAACAGCATATTTTGACCATTTGTGACAACTGGATACACTATTAGTCATTTGTAGAGGAGTATACAAGACAGGACTTACAGAAAAAAGTTAGTAAGAAAACGTCAATTCGATTAGATCAAGTTAAATTGAAGTGTAATAAAAGTGCCAGTTGTCCAAACAAAATTCAAATTTGACACTACATCCATGTCTTTAGATATTTGCACTTAGTCTATAGTTTATAATCCATGCACTGGCACAACTAAAAGGTAGCAGGGAGAGGTAAGAGGTCAGCTAGACAGAGCTAAACTTTACCATCAGCCTGATCCTGGAAAACAGCGTTATCATCGGCAAAACATCTCGTGCCTGAAATGTTACCATAGTCAAATATTGGGCCCTCCAGTAAAGTCACAATATCCATCCGATTGACTTTGGTCAGCACTGCAGTTAAGGCATCCGCTGTGGAGAAAAGTACGACGACAAAAAAACAACTTAGTCCGTAAATCAAGCTCTGAAAGAGGACAAAAAAAGGTTCAAAGAGGAAAGATATTAAAACAGTAAGGTTTTCAGATGTAAAAATAGTCTTACTTGTGGCATTTTTCCCTTCCCGACCGACCCATTTCTTAAGAAGCATGAAGCTCTGCGCTGTCAAAGAGTTGGGGTTCTCTAATCTGACGTGGTTGATCTCATCCACTGTGAAGTTCATCTCCCGAGCCAGCTCTGTGATGGGAAACAGAAAGAGAGACATAATATTTAAATTTGAAAAAAGTACCTATCATTTTGTTCAATATAGATAAAGACTGCAAGAGGTAATATACAATATACATATTTGGATTTCAGAGTGTGACTGATAAAAACCCCTATTCAGTTGTCACCACATTAAAATCCAATATATAGTGTAACTGTTATTCCCTTAATAAATAACATTTTTCTTGTACTCTTATGGCTATTTTTCAAAATACAATTTATTTGTAAGGTATTTTGTTGACCAGAAGAGGGCAGTAAATAGCAGGGTTTGTGACTGATAGGGCCAAAGAAAGAAAGTAAGGTAGACAAGGAATTAAGAGGGAGAAAAAGACAAATGCAGTATGTGTTCTACCTGTCCAACTAAGTCCCAAGTGATCTGCGACGATAGCCATCCGCAAATCTGTTCGCTCACAAGGACTTTGGGGACCTGGAAAGATAGAGGACAATCACTCATCAATAATTCACAGTCCTATCCCCACATACACTAATGTAAGAGATAAATAAATATGTACATATTTTTCCTTTTCTGGCCACATATCTATCCCATTAACATATTTTTTCTTCGTTATGTGAAAATATATATATATAAATATATATAAAGTGTTAGTGTATCACTGTAGTATGGCTTTATTATGCGAGTTAAGAATTATTTTCCCATGATGGCAAGAAAAGGGTATTTCACATTAGAGACATAATGAGCAACTTAAATATGTCCATAGAATAAGTGGTGCTCTGTGACTGTTTGTGGTATGTATCCTCTAGGCAGGCAGTAACTGTCATGAGAACCACACAAAACAAAGCATGACTGTCAACAACGGACTCTAAGTTCTACACAGAAAATTCTATGTTAGAGTCTAACACGTAAACATGCGGGGCACTTTTGTGTGTTCTTTTCCAACACTAGTTAGTTCAAATGACAATTGATACATAGACAAATCTGTAGGAACAAACTAATGCAATAACTGGGTAGCCACCCTGCACAGACAGACAGACAGACAGACCACGGAGTTGTCAAAAAAGGGACTGGTTGTGCCAGTGGACCAGTCACTACTGCTGGCATGCTCTCTCTACTATACAGAGGTTAAAAAGGGTTGGCAGAGGGGAACATAGGAAAGAGAATCTTGCAACAAGGACAATACAGTACACATTACATCAATGACAAAAAAAAGAAATTTAAATGACAGCTACTGTTCTGAAGAGAATATGTAAACACGCCACAGGCATTCCAGTCAATCCATTAAACGATCACAACGATGTCATGCAACTAAAAGTGAAATATAAAAATATATAGATGTATTTTTAACATAGTGTGAAAGTTTTACAAACTAGGCTTGATCTCCGCGATGGGAGGCGTTCGAGACCCTGTGAGTCCCTGACTGCCCTCCTTCCCACCAGTCCGCCTACTCCTCCTGTTCCTCTCACTGCCGGAGGCCCTGTCCGTCGTCGCCACCTTTGCCCTTACGGACGCGGCCCCGGCCTCAGCCCTCGAACCTCTACCAGACCTGGATGAGCGGGAGGGCTGGGAGGGCTGGGAGGGCTGGGAAGGCTGGGAGGCGTCCGACAGAGAGGTGCTCCGGGAGGTGCTGTCTTCCTCCGACTGCTCTGTCTGCGCCTTTTTCTCCTCGTCTGACAGGCGGTCCACCAACTTTAGCGTCTCCCCGCTAATGCTTTTAAAGTACTCAATGGTGCGCTTACAAACCTCACTGGGGTTCTCCTGTCTGTCCTGTCTACCTGTAACGCTACTGGCCTGATTCCTGTCCTTAGGCGGTAGCCTTGAGGGTAACTTTATGGCTGCTCTGTCTCTGTCCAATGCCCTTGTTGGCTGTGAGGTAACCCGGAGTGAACCAAGTGAACTAGCCGTAGTAGCGGGACTACTCTTTTTAACATCCTTGATTGGTATTCTAGACCTGGGCTCTACTTTTGCTATGGCTGGCTCTCCTCTTTTCCGTACTTCAACCGTCACTGCCTGTTTGTGTTTATGTTTGCCTATGGCTGTTCCCTGTGTGTGAAAAGACCACCCTGACGCTTTGACTGGAAGCCTAGACTTCGGCTGCTTCACTTCACTTTCTTTAACTGTTTCGCTTATCTGCTCTTGCACTTGATTGCTTTTGTGAACTTCCACTCTCTCTTCTAAATCCCTACAGCACAATGTTTCTATCCTGCTGGCCTTCTGAAGAGTGGGCTCAGAGGAGGACTGCAAATTAAACACCACACTACCACATTGGATGTAGTTGGCCTGAACGCTGGAGGACTCGAGGTTGTTGTTGTTGTTGCAGTTTTCAGAAGGGTAATCTCTTCTTTCTAGCTTGGACTCAGAATGTCTGATGGACTGGCTCTCTGTACACTGACCCTCTATACTGATATATTCTGGCACCATCTGACCCTCCGAAATCTCAGCTTTACAATCGGTGAGATCCCCCGAGTCTTTTTTCACAGTAATAGAGGCAGCTATGCCCATCTTAATTGGAGTGCGTAATTTGGGATCAACCTTAGAGGCTGTGATTGTGCAAGAAGAGGCGGTCTCAGCTATGGCTTCACAGGTTGGGGCATCGGTACCAGTATGGCCAGTGTCACTGCCGGGCTGTGCAGGGCCGCATTTTGCTGCTGATGCTGCTGGTGTTGTTGGTGTAGTGCTGCTGTCTGTGGTTGTATCTATAACATTCACCATCCCATCTACTGCGGCCCCTGTTTTTGACTGAGAGGAAATTACCCCCAGGACCTTGCCCCCTCTCCCCTTTTCCCCTGTTTTTGGGTCAGAGGAATGCTCACCAATCTGGAAAAACTGAAGCCTCTCTTCAACAAAGTCCCGCTTGCTCATGTCAATAGCACCACTGCGGGTCATCTCAAACATCTTCCCTTCGTGGAAAGGGAAGGGGTTAGGCTCACTAGTCGGTGTGCTCTCATCAGTCGGTGTTCGAGCAGGAGTTGTGTCAGGAGTTGTAGCCTGGGATTTGTCGTCCACCGATAAACCAAAGGGCTTTGGTCCTCATCTTTTGCCTTTGAATCAAAAACTCCATCACTTTCACCTCCTTTGGTTGACCAGGGGTCAAAGTCCAGGCCTTTGGTGGCAACAGTTTTAAAGGTTGAATTTAGCTCTTCTTCTAGTTGGTAGCCAAAGTAGTTTTCTCCAAAGCTCAGCCTATCTGGATGTCTTCCTTCAAGGGTATAATCCTTTTCATCTCCACTGCTTTTCGCTGAGGATGTGCTTGTTTTAGTCTTGCCATTCTCGCCACCTTCTTCACATTTCTCTTCCTCTATCACTTCAAGCTTTGACTGGCTAAATGAGCGGTCAGTTGGTTTTCCATCATTGGAAAGACTAGAAGTTTTAGGGTCCTCGCTCAGTCCATCATCCTCATCCTGCAGGTCATACCCATCTAAAGAGTCTACTTCAGTTGCATCTGTGTCATGGGAGAACTCAGCAGTGGTTGCTATGGAACAGTCAGTAATTGACTGGTCATTGCCATTTTGTTCTAAGTCAGCATCATCCCCCTTTACAACACCATTGAGTCCGGGATCTTTGTCATTTGCATCTCTCTCTGATCTATTTTGTTTTTGCCCTTTTTCTCCCTCCTCTTTCATTTTGAATGTGTACTTCTTGATTGGAATGGGATGGAAAACAGATTCATCATCACTAGAGTCGCTGTTATCAGCTCCAGGGGGGATAGGGGATGGAGGCTGGACCCTTATGATTGGCTCAGCAAGGAGATGCCTATCATGCTCCTCTTGAAGGTTCACCTCTATCATCTCAGTCTCTGCCTCGGAAGAAGCACATGAACCCCTTTTATCAGGGTCGGACTGCTCTGTCTCTAAAGGAGGTGGAGGAGGAAACTCTATATAAGCCACTCTTTTCTCCTTTGACTTTGGTCTCTGTGCATCCTGTTTTTTACTGTGATTCCCTGAGGACGCTGGCTTGGGTTTTTCTTTTGAGGGCTCCTTGTAGATGAAGGTTTTCCCTTCTTCCTCCTCAGACTCTTCGAGGATAGGGCTTGGCATGCCAGGCATGAAACCTATCACAGAGTCTGGTGTTCTTGAGGTCAGACTTACTTCCTCTGAGCTGGGGGTCTCAGGGGTCACAGGACTTTTCCCAGAGCTGTCCATGAAAGTCACTTGTTCTAGAGTGTCATCTTCTGGACTTCCTTGAGGAGATGGAGACTGTTTTTGCTTGACAGTGTAAAAAGCACCCCTAGTCTCATGCACTGTCCTACTCTCATGACTAACTATCTTTTTGTAGGTTCCAAGCTGCCCCGAAGCTGTTTCTTTCTCAAATTGCTTTCCTACTTGGATGCTAACATACACAGGTAAAGGTTTGATATCTTTGAATCCCTCTGTAACAACAACAGGAGTTACTTCTTCAAAATACTCTATCTGGTCACTATCAACACCATTACACACTACATTTGACACACTACCGTCTGAAGAGTCTGAGGATTTTCCTACTGATGATCCCCAAGTTGACTTGTTGGAATCAGAGCTACTGTGTAAGCGACCTTTAGCTAAAGTAGGTATATGGGACCCAGTCCTCTCATATGGTTCAACAGAGGCATCTAATTTTAAAGTGGTGGATTTGTGATTTTCTGAGAAATTAGATGGCTTTCTTACAGGTATTTGCGATTCCGAGTTTTTTTTTAGACTATCATTACTATTTGGATTTTCTCGGACAATGAATTCTGTGTAGATTATTTTCTTGGTGGTTTCTTGTCTTTGGGGATCACTGGTATTGCCATCATTAATTAGAGGTTGTGATATTTTAGGGGATTGAGATTTAAAGTTCCCGTAATCTTGGCCCTCCCATGCTTTAAATAACTTTTTATCATCCTGATCTGTTTTAGTGGTCTCGTGCTTCGGTGAGAACTTATTGGATTGGCTATCTAGACATCTCCTCTGGTTTCCTGGACTATCTGGTGTTTTTGGGGTGCTTGAACCAGAAAACACCTGATAGACGGGCAGCTTACTTTCCTGGAGCTTCCTGATGGGCGGATTTGAATTTTGGCCAGCTTGATGACTCCTTTCTTGCCTTTGAGCCTCTTGCTCAAACTTTAGTCTTACTGCACTCACTTTAGAAGAAGACATTTGAAAAGGCTTAGGGCTTTCACCTGTGCTTCCTTTTGATTTATCATCTTGCTGTCTTCGTTCTGAATCAGTGTATTGCAGCAATACTCTCCTCTCTGGACTGCTGGGTAAGCTTGCACATTTTCTATCGCTGGAGCTGAACCTGTCTCGTAGCCTTTCTCTGCTCCATTCCTCTCCACTACCCCCATTTCTATAAGCTGACCTCTCTGGGCTGCTGTGTGTGGAACTGGGCCCTGATCGGGATTCCCTGAAGTCTGGTCTGCGAGATTTCTTCTCTGGAGATGAGAGCTCATCATTGAGTTGTTCTGTTTTATCACGAAAGAACTGGGACACCTCACTGAGCTTTTCCTCTGCCTCTTTTACAGTCCTGTCCACCCTGTCCTCATACATAAGCTGTCCTCTGTCCTTACTCTGAGCATCATCAGACACACGCATCCAAACAGACTGCTTTGGGCTACCAGGCTCAGAAGAGTACTGTAGGAGTGTCAGTTTGTCAAAGTTATCATCAACATTTGCCATTCTTCCAGATTTGTCAAAAACATTTCTTGATGACCTAAAAACATACTCTGTCCTTGGCCCAACTGATCTACCCTCACTGTGACTACTTCTGTCTGGTGAATGGAAGCGAGACCTATCTCTCAGATATTCCTCTGTGTCGGAATGAGACTGGTCAAATTTCTCAGACAGTAGCATTTTCTCTGCAAAATTATAAGATTCTCCCCTTAGTTCTGACGATTCATCCTCATTGTACTCTACAGATTGCTGGCTCAGTAGCTTTAATGTCTTGTAAGAGTCATCTGCCATGAGTTGGGCTGAACTGGGGCGACTTTCTTCCTCCATAGGTGTGCTCATTCTGGGAGAGTCAAGGTATACTGGAAGAGATTCCTCAGGCTCCTCCTCGTCCTGTCTATTCCCTGGGTAGTAATACATTTCCTTCTCTGCATGGTTTTTAGTCTCTCTGATTATGACCTCTGTTGGGTCTGTTTTATTGCCTTTTTCAATATGAACCTCAATTATTCTTTCAACCTTAGGTTTGGAGTTGATGTCTTCGAGAACTCTTTGCGATGTTTCCTCTTTGCCAGACTTGTGCTCAAACAGTCCAGCAAGTTCTCTAGAAGGGTCCTTGCCAGACTGAAAAGCTTTCATTATGTCATGCACAGACATAGTCTCTTCACACCTCTCCGATGCAGCTTCCTTGGCAGATTGTTTGTGGTACACCATCCTGGTGGTAGTTGTAATGTGCGTCTCTTCTTTTACCCTCATCCCTTTTCCCATTGGATCATCATCAGGGCTAACTTTTATTGAATAGCATTTATTCTGTTCTGGGCTTGATTGAGTCTGATTCAGGTGGCTTTTAGATTCTGAATCAATATATCTGACAGAATTTGCATCTTCCATTGCAGGTTGTTTGTTATCCTCTGGGGTCTCATAACTCCTGATAACATGAACAACTTCAGTCCTTGTCTCAGTGATCACAGGGGGAACTGGGATATCCTGAAAAAGGGCCTTGGGGCCCATGCCTTCTGCACTTGGAGGGGCAGAAGGTGTCCTTTCACTCCTGGTCTCAAAGCCACTGTCTGAGAGGGGACTTTTATCCTGTTCATGTGAGATATCATCAGGAGATTCTAGCACAGTGTCCGCTCCAAAAAGTGCATCTGCTACTTTATTGATCTCTTTGTCTGAAGCTGAAGAGCGCATGGTTGTTGGAGGCATTTTGAGCTTGTGCTCCTGAACTGCTATAGTGGGTTTTAGGATGCGTTTTTGCTTGTCCTTGCCCTCCCCTTCTCTTTTACCCTCATCTGCTTTAGGCTTTGTGTCATGCATTTTGGAGAAAGAGCTGCTACCAACATCATTGACCAGGTAGTCAACAACTTTGGAAAGATTGAAATCTCTATCTGGTATTGTTTTTGATTTAGCTTGAGGAACCACAGTCTCATATCTTGGCGGATAGCTCCAGTTGCTTGGTGGTTGTTCAACTTGTACTTTTGAGAAGTGTATGTCATCCAAAGAACCTCTTGTCAGGGAAACTCTACCATCCTTCCCAGCATCTTTAGTAAGTATTTCACTCACTTTGACCAAATCTTGTTTTACTTTCTCAACAATCCTATATGGTTCCTCGTCCTCTATCTTCGCCTCTCTTGGAGAATCTGACTGAAGTCCTTTGTTGGCTGTGGAGTTTGGGTCTGTCTGCAAAATAGCAGACATTCGTATCAAGTCCTCTTTCATTTCAGCCACATCCTTTAGAATCTCTTGGCTAGATGAAAGTGGTGATGTGGTGTTGGATTTCAGGCCAGCAGAAAAAAGAGGGGTTTTGATAGGGGAAAGAGTTTTGGCAAAGGAAGACTGCAACTGAGCATTCACCTCAGCCGGCACAGTCTTCCGTGGGGACAAAAGGGCAGCAGCTGACTTGGACACCTCAGGTAGCTTTTTGAACTGGGGCTCTGGCAGCACATTAATAACAGAGTACACTGGAACAGTCATTGTACTGGATGTTACAGCAGTGGTGGCATTAGGGGGGGATCTGAGAGAGGGGTAAAGGGAATTAGAAGCTGATGATCTAAAGGACTGATAGGAGGAAGATGCTGAAGAAGACATGGACTTCAAGGTGCCATAGCCTGCAGAACAAGAATTAAAAGTTTTCTCCACCTCATCAAAGGCTGCATTGACACTTGTAGTTGCAGCATTGGTAGTTGCTTGTATTCTTTCTTGCAGACTACTTGCGAGAAGAGAATTTGGGGAAGAAGAGCGGTACTGTGTAGGTGATACAGTTCCATTGATCAGAGCTGCAGCACTTGGAGCTGTGTTGGATTTCTGTGGTGATGAAAATGAGGAGAACAGGTTCCTTGCAGGACCAGTGACTTCAGCGGCAAAAGAACGCACAGAGGAGAGACCAGGGACTGTTTTTATGGGGGAGGAAGAAGATGCAGTGCTGCTAGATGCCCCCATAACAGTTTTGTATGACAGAGGTGAACTGAACATACTTAGAGAAGATTTTGGAGAAGATGGTGGGGTCATGCCTATGGATGCTCTCTCAAGAAGTGTGCTTCCCCCTCCCGAGACAGTAATAGGGGAGGTCCTGGCAGAATATGCTGCTAGACCTTTCATAGACATAGGATCTGGGACACTTTTGCATGGTGAGGCCAGGGGACTGGGGGTGGCCTGCCCTGGATACTGCGTTTGTTGGACTACAGTTTTTATAGGAGAAGAGATAGTTCTGTAAGTTCGAATGGGAGATGCCATGTCACTAACTGACTTTACAGAGGAGGCGGGGGATCCAGGGATGTTGGTCTTGATTGGGGAGGCAGAGTTGATGGACCAGACCGATTTTAATGGAGAGGCAGAGGGCGTGTTGGATGACGAACTGGAGAGGGAGCCAAAACCAGACTTGGCTTGACCAGGGACGGCGACAGGAACAGGCGTCCACGCCTGATAAGATCTCGTTGAAAAGACAGGTTTGTGAGGGTAGCTAGAAGGCTGTGTTCTCGGCGAGCTTCGATCAGTAGTTTCTTCGACAATAATTTAAACCAAAAGCAATAAGGGAGTAAAAATAAAATGTAACGAAAATAATTTGAAATAAAACATAAAAACCAGAAAGAGAAATTGGAGTCAGTCAGAAACAGAATTAACAAAACAGCAAGACACATTTTTTCACGTGAATAAAAACGTTCATATTTAAAAATCCAGGATGATATGGTAAATGAGGATCTCGAATCAGTGAGAGAATGTACACCAAATAAACAAAAGAGCATGTCCAAGAAAAACATGTTTGACATATGGTAGAGTTGACAACAAAATGACATGAGAACCAAAAACAGTACAATTCCATTGACTTTTGATGTGTTTTATCTATTTGCCTCCTTGCAACAGTGCCTTTTACTGTTCGTGTTAGATTTTCAAGTGTTTATCCTTCAATTTTCATTTTCAATGCCAGAGATGACCCCACAAGTGTATAACATTAATAAAAAAAATCACTCTATTTGTTTCGGAATGACTTGAAATAAAAATATGAGGTTGCACTTTACAAAAAGTAACAGCACATCAGCCATTCAAACTGAAAGTGCTGTACAAATACTACCCCTCAAAATACAACTGGTGCATAGAATTGTATGCAGTTTTTTAAAAATAATTTGCATAATTTGAATAGTAGAAAATCTGGCAAACAAAGTCTCTCTGTAGGTGAAATCAAGTGAATGTAAAGTGCAACCTGTTACCACACTAATTTATACAGCCGCACACAATCATAAAGCCAATAAGAGTGAAATGGCCACTAAAGGAAATGAGAACAATTCAAATGAATATTTTTATTCAACATGAATCAAAACATTTTTCGGAAATTATAAATGAACAGACAGATGATTTCCCAATGTTTCCACAAATGTAAAATAATGTAACAGTTGAGACTTTTTGTAAACATGGGGTGGGTAAGCGAAGCGTAACAGACAGTAAACCATGCAAATGCTTTATGAATGACAGATGATAGAATAGTATGTGTCAGGTGAATAGAATAAATGATTGAGAAACATGGTAGATGTCTTCCTATACTCTGGATATATGTAAAAATAATATGAATACTGTATAAAGGGACATTTAGACACTAAAACTTGTTAAAATGACAGAACATCTGAACTCAAGTAAAAATGTTCATGTAAGTAAAAATGGGCAACTCACTCGCTGCTGGGTCGGTCAAATAGCTGTAGCGCTTACGCAAAGCTAAGGAGGCAAAGGTATGGCGTCGTTCTGGCTTTTCAGTCTGCAACAAATAAAAAACAACAAAAGGTGCTTTAACAAAAAAAATATGGCGAAGTGTATATGATTTCACCATAAAAGATGTAGGTCTAAATAATAATGTTAGCTTGTTTAAGTAGTACTGCGATGCACAAATACTGTTCTGTTTTTAGCCAATCAGTCCATGCTGTTAGTACTTGCAAAGTGAAGAATTTAGAGTCCACTCTGGTGAGTAATGGAGTGCTTCCCTGTATCTCTTCACTCTTGTCATTTCTCAATGTCTTTGCAATGAAATAACCACAGACACTATCTGCTTTGTTTTTTAAGAGTTTAAAAGAAACTGCATTATGTAACAATGTGGAAAGTTAAGGTGTGGAGGGTTTGTCACTTTGCCTGATGGATGTTGGTCTAATGTATCAGGACAGAGCTGGAAGTGTTCTGTACATGCCACACCTTTTTTTTGCTCCCCTAACAACGACATGCTCTCTGAAATCCCACACTGGGGCAGCTGGGCCTGCACAATCTTATTTATGGCATTACCACTGAATCTCTGTATGAAAAAGGCAAATTGTGATTTTAAAAGTTCCAGCTTTATTATAATCTTTATGAACTATTATTTGATTTATGAATGTTTATGTACAGTAGATGCTCGCAATGATATTAAGTATGCTGCCACATTGCGCTCAGTTGGATGAGAAGGCCCCCATGTACAAAGGCTAAGTCCTGTCTGCCCAGGGTTCGACCCTCTGCCTTCTTGTGCATGTGTTCCCCACTCTATTTCCCTCTAGATTTTCTATTTACCTTCAACTGTCTTGCAAAAGGCAAAAAACAACATTAAACTCTGCCAAAGAATATAATCTAGTTTTACTTTTTTAAGTGCTAAATTGTCCAATATCAACATTCTTCCTGGAGATTAGTTTGATACATTCTCAGGAAGAAGGAATATTACACATATATTACACACATATTCACTATGATTAATGTAAATAATCAAATACCAAAACAGCGTTAACTCCCTTTTTATCAAATTCTCCTTTAAATGTTTTGACATGCAGGATAAAGTTAGTACTCTCTGTTGGACACAGGCCAAGGACAAGGGTGAAGAAGGGAAGGATTGATTCCAACAAAACAGTGATGTAGAAGACAAATGATAAGAGTTAGGGTTTATTTAAAGCTGACAAAATATACTGTAGTCCTGTGTGAAACTTCCTATAAGTGAAATTAGAACCCGACCGATATGGGATTTTTGGGGCTGATACCAATATAGATATTGGGGAGGGAAGAAAATCCAATACGGATATATTGTCCGATATCTTTCTTAGATCTATATATTCGATCTGTAGGGAGAGATATAGATATAAACATTTATTGCGCTGATCCCTCAAAAGCAGTTATCAAACACTTGTGGAAAAGATATTTAATGAAGACAAGATGGTCACTCAACTGCTCATGTAAGTGTATCACCGCTTGACACGCTGCTAGTGTAATACAATGAAACTCAAATGAAACGATATGAGACTTGTGAATAAATCTAGTAATAGGGGCACATATCTGTGATAAAATTAGCCGATACCAATAGACACGGGATACGCGAATATCGGCCGATAATATCTGCTGGCCGATTAATCGGTCGGGCTCTAGTTAATAGTAAGGATGGAGACATGGTGACTTCTGTTGAAAATGTATGAAAAGGAGGATAGAAATGAAAAACAAGCTGACAGTGGAACAGCAGCTGGCTCCACTGGACTTTGGGATGAAGACAACAATAAATAAATTCTTGCTGATTAAAAGGTCTGCCATTTCCATTCATGCATTTCTACATGAGGTCACTTCAGCAACAACAAAGCAGCGTAAAAAAGTGCAGTCAGAAGCAACATTCACACAGAGGTACCAGACATAGACCAAATATATATATAATATAACGCTGTAAAGCCAACAAAAAGGACGAAAAAGAAGAAGCAGTTCCATGTGATGATGAAGAATCTGTTTTACCTCATCATCAGGATCAGACTCCATATCCTGTGGTATTCCAAGATGCATTGCAGGAGAGGAGAGAGATGACACAATGGAGAGCAGGGACGTTATAGTGAGCGGGGAGATGGAAAGAAAAATTCAGGGGATGAAAATGGAGCAGCAAAAACAACAAAACGCATCAGAAAAAGTCTATAGGATTAATCAAAAATAAACAGCAAAATAACAAAAGCAAAAGCAAAATCATTTCAGTTTCTTGTGATCAATGAACACCACAACAAACAAAACATTTTCTTTTCTTTTTGCGCAAATTCTTGAACCCACAGTGAGCCAGGCAATAGAGAAAGCACGCTGTGCATGTGTGGCCGCATGTGTACGTTGTGGGGTCTTAGGACTGGCACAGGCTTTAACACCAATAAAAGACACAAGCAGCAGGCGAGTCACTTCTGACCAAATGAACTTCAGTGGCTCCTCTGGATGTCAAGGACAACACTGCTCTCTGTATTGCTATTTCATTTGCATGTAGATGATATGAAATTGCCTAAAAAAGGATGAGCTGTTCAACCATGGCGCTCCTACCTTCTTGTGTGTTGGCAGTGTGATATTCAAATTGCATATGGCAGTCTGTGGAAGGCCTTTGCTGGATTTTGGCTCTCTCAGGAAGGAGAGACGGCCACATGGCTCCTGGCCCATATCTCTGATCTGCGGAAGACAGCAAAAAAACAAAAAGAATAACTGCATCAGGAGTGTATCGTATTTAAAATGTTCAAGAAGGAGTAGAAAAGTCCCTTTTTGTGTGTTTCTTTTCTAGTTGCACAGCGGCCACTATTAGACATTCCTAAAATATTAAATTGTCATAAAGTGATGAAAGGGTTTAATTTCTCACTCACATGCATGTCAAAAGACTCAGACCAAAGTAGAGAGATTGTTAATCCCTGATCCTGTTAGAATCACATAATTCCCTTACACTTGATGTCCCTGGGCTGTGGTCAATGTCTGAATATTACATTTCTGACATCATTTAATCTGCACGTACCTTTTACAAATGAGTACGGAATGAATCATAGACAGTTTATACCAGCAAAAAGAAAAGGTTTATTGTAAGGCTTGTGTATTTCATACCTTCACATTGAATGGAAGTCTGTTTTCCTTGAAAGAGTAGAAGTTAAAAACCAGCTGCTGCCCACTTTTAGTGAGAGGAGACAGGTTGCCATAGCAGTCCACATGGATAGGCTTGCCCTCCAGAACCTACATACACCATTAGACAAAACATAAATGAATGAATTATTCAAATGTATTCATTTGTCAACTCATCTTTATCATACTCTTTTTGTTCAACACAAACAGAAGTCCCAACCTCAATGTCTTTGCTGCGTGCCACTTCCTCAAAGTTCTCCTGCTGCTCGAGGGTTTTGTCCACCTTGTCGTCGGTCATGCAGAAGCAGCGCAGCCGAGCCTCAACAGGGTCGTTCATCTTGGCGAAAACCACAAACTTGGCCAGGTACGGCACGCAGATCAGCTCCCGGTATAACTGAGACGCTAAACTCACCGTCTCAGGAATCTGGTGACAGTCTGCGAGCCAGAACCTGTGGAGGAGAGATCAGACAATGAACGAGTAGACATTAGAAGAGAAGTTGGGAACAAATGATGAAACGGGACCAATCTTGAAATGAGACGTGTGATTCTTTTAATACGTGGGTTGATTTACAGCAACCTAAATCTGCACTGCACAAGAAAGCCTTTTTTTGTATCACACAATTTCTAAGACAAGTGAATCATCAGCAGTGATTAATCAAATAAGGTGGGATGTTCCTCTGAAGACACAGACACATGGAAGCTGTGTACTGTAGCAATGTGATTACAGAGCCGCCACAGGGTGCTCTGCTAATAACAGGCGGCACTCTCACAGCATGATTCCAATCTAGCAAGGACGAGAATACATTTAGATACTCTTTGGTTGCAGAGGTCAGTTTAGAAGCCTCAGTGTCTGGAAAGCCAAAACAATGGTTGACTTTGTACCACTAAGAAAGATGTTGTCTGCATTAGAACGCTACCACCAAGTGATGAAAAGAAATTCAATACAAAGGTAGAGTCAACCAATGAAATGTAGAATCTGAGTATATAGCTTTGGAGGGAAATGGTTGTAATGTCTTTATAGTGATCTAATAAATGCAACTTATTATTGATTTAATGATACATTTATTTTTAATTAATTAGTTCAGTTCACAGGGAGATTTTTAATTATTTACCAAAGGCACAAGCGCAATATTCACATGTCTTGCTCTGGAAAAATTTACCCCTGAATCTAATCAGTTTATATTAAAAGGAGAATAAATAAATAAATAAATAAATTATATATATATATATATATATATATATAATTGCTATAAAAACTACTGAATTAAAAAACTTGACAATTCTTTGACTATTGATTATCCCAGAATGATTGCATTACATAAATTACCATAATCCTAAGTGAGTAAGTGGCGTTATGCCAGAACATTATAAACTGTACATATAGTGAGACATGGATTTTAAATGTGAGAGTGAATTCAATACACGGCCTTCCATAGCGTATCTTTTCTTAGTGTTCATCATCTTTAACTGTCCTCCTTGTGTATGACGTGTGTGCATACAGTGTGTTTTCTTTGACTCACCTGGCCGACACATTTGTGGTGAAGGAGACGCAGTCAGTTACAAAGGACAGCGGTGTGGTCCCTGTGATGTCCTCCCACTGAGCAGGAGACATCCCTCCTGCATGAATCAGAGCCAAGAGATGAGATCACTACTCTTCCAGCCTTAACCAGTGTTTTAGCTTTTTTTTTAGTCTTCATCCTTTTATCTTCTCAGTTCTTCATCTTCTGATATTGCCCAGTGACTTTTGAAATCAAAAAAAGGCCATCTACGTCTGGCGTCACAATTAACATATCCATAACACATCTAAGGAAATGATGGCTGTCACTATTCATTTGTCTAAATGTTAAACATAATGAAAATGTAATATTAGTCCTAGAAGCAATTTGGACAGAAGTATAGCAACATATTATACTGTATATTACAATGTATGGCTACTTGTCGAACTCTAGTTTTTTTACAGGTCTACTTGCCTGTGATGCTGCAGAGCAGACGCAGGCAGGGTGCAGAGTCCCCGCGGTGGCCTTCTGCCGATCGAGGTGGGACAGGGATCGTCATGGTGATGGGCTTGTGGAACTTCCGCCTCCTGGGCTCGACAGTAACAATGGGGCTGAAGGTTGCCCTGTTCCCAAGAACTGCCCGTGCCAGGTCATCGGGCACAGGCTGGGCCTGAACGTTAACACAGGAGGACAAATTGAAGCAGAATCATTGTTTATTTTTTGACTTAACTTTGAGGACACACAAATACTCAAACTTTTCCAAAGCTTTCAAAAAGTATAAGGAGGAGGCATGTGATGCAGGACTAAATATACAACCAAAAACTAGGTCGGCATGAATTAATAACAGGTCAGTGTACAGTATATGAAGCAAAAAAAAAAAAGCTGAGTCAGGATTCATATTTAATTTGAGAAGATCCAAGAGAGGCCTGCTGTACCTGCAGGCCAACACGAATCCTCTTGGTGAGCGCCCCCTGTGGGAAAGAGGCCTGGACCATGGGCACGGTGCTGCTGGACAGGAGACCCCCGTCAGGACCCACGTGGTTCGACTCCTGCTTGATCCGCGACACCACAGCAAAATACTGAGGGAAATCTCTGGTGACGATGCGGCAAATGCGCTTCTTCTCGAGCTCAACAGGACTGTCCAGCTCTGTGAAAAAGAAAACATTGCTTTTATGAATTGGATTTTATGAATTGTTTATTTGTAATAATACACTTTACACATTTTTATAATTGAATTCAAACATTAGGCTGTTATGAGGCTTGGCAGTTTGGTCGGTGTTACTATAAAAAACGGACACTAAACTAACTAGATTAAACAGATTAACTAAAACATTATTTTGGATTGAATTTTGGATTATTCCAGGTCAGTGTTTCATAAATGGAGGCACTAATAACGGTTGCATGAAGCCAACACATCTCAAAGTTGTTTTTTTTATGTACAACGTTATATTTAGTAAATCAGACACTGCAATGCATCTCTTTACATAATTTTTTTCATTTCCAAAAAAAACTATTTGTGCTCATTCGGCTCAGTATCTATTTTAATGCTGAGAAATGCATGAAAAAAGAAGTGCTGTTTGAGGTCACTTTCTGACATACAGGCCTGGATTATGTGTAAAGGTTAGGGTTAGGGTTAGGCTTTTCTTAGTGGTTCGGGTTTGGGTTCGGGTTTGGGTTAGGGTGTTCACCCTTTCTCTTGTGTTGCATAAACTTTCTTTAATCCTTCTTTCTTTGGTAAAATCAGGTACAAGTGGCAGGTTTCTTTTTCTTACCTTCTTCCATTCCAGCCAGCAGATCAATGAGGTCTTCTGGTCTGGCGTCTGGCTGGTGCTCCTTCCACGTGTCCCCATTTTCACTCCGTAACACAATCAGTTCCCTCTCTTTACCCCGCATGGAACCAAAATGGGGGATCTCCACAATCACAGGACTGAAAAAAAAAAAAAAAGGAAAACCATATACTTTAGAGCTGCTGAAGAGGTTTAAGGAGGTAATGAGCTGTACTGAGTCCTGATATCAGAGTAGACTGCTGGCTAGGCCTGCTGAGCAGTGCAAGCCATCAAGACAGAAAGAAGCCGTCGTACCCTAGGAACTGAGCCCCAGCAGGTCCGACCTCCACCAGACGGCTCACCAGCCCTTCTCCCTCCACCATAGGAGGGGGGTAGGCCAGCTTGTGCCTTTTGGCCAGGCGGCAGGTGATACGTGTGGGTGCCGTGCACTTCCTGGGAGGGATGATGATGCGCATGCCATTGTGGCGGCTGCCTCTCATGGAACCGCCACGGGCATCCACCATGAAGCTGACCAAGAACCTGCAAGAGAGGAACGAGGTTAAAGGCAGAAAAAAAAAGAGAGAAACAGAGAGAAACAAAGATAGAGGAGCTATAACACTGATACAAGTGAGGAGGACGATTCCCATGCTGTGATCACCGTACAGCCAAAAAAAATCAAAATAAGGAAAAAATAGAGAAGAGAAAAAGAGAAAGGGACCAAACGGTAAAAAGAAAAATGATGATGCTTTGAGTTCTGAAAGTTGGTAGTTATCACCTTCACATGCCTCTTTAAACAGTTATAAAAATGGCCTGAAACTAAAGAAATTTGAAAATGTAAACTCCTGTGAGGAACTTTCAGCCTGTAACACTTTTAGTTCATCCCTAGGTGAAAAGCGGTACCTATTGTCTCTTTGCTGATCTTGACCTGTACATCCTAAAGTGTTTTTTTCTTACAAAAAGATCTCACTCTGCTTTCCTTTTTTTAAAGGAGCAACATGTAAGAAATCTACTGAATTAAACATCAAATAAAATAACCTTTTTTTAAAGACATGAAGCATCAGAGAAACGTCCGTATCTGCGACATGGCCACCCGGGTGTGCATCCACTCTAGAGAGGAGGGGGGCGAAGGGGAGACAGCGCTCTCCCAAATGTTCAATTTGGACTGCAGTACCCATTTTAAATGCTACTAGTCAGAGTTATATATTGCTCCTTTAAGATTTTTTTTTTTTTTTTATTAGCTTTATGCCTTTCTTCAAGAGGACAGTGGGAAAGAGAGTAGAGCACTATATATAGAGAGAACTAGAGCCTCCATACACAGGGCAACATTTACCGCTGGGGCACCGACGCTGCATCCTGCTTTCTTTTAACAGTCAAACCCAACACTCATCAGGACTCTTTGCAGTGAACAATATTTCAAAAAGACTGTTTCGACTGTGTGCAGTTCAGTTTGTCTGATCCCTCTGCAGTGTTTAAAATGACATGAAATAACATTATAGAAATAAGAAATTGCTAAAGTGACGATCTGGTTTGCTCTTACAGGGTATTTATTTCAGCATCTTAACAAACCAGAAACTCCTCACAGGATCTTTAAGTTGCTTCTAGTTTTGAGGCTGAAGGTGAGACTGTTGCCAAAGTTTCAGTTTCTCTAAAGCAGCATTAAGTGATCATATATTAAACACCTGCACAGATGTTTCACCAAGAGAGGGTTAATATGATTATTATGTGATGTGTTCTAATCCTTAAAATAAGAGCATGTGTTTGCATCCCATTCAAATATTTACTGACAGCAGTGAAGAGTGAAGAAGAGTGTTGGATTAAGTAACTTTGTGCACTCATATACATTCATTATACTTAAAGACAAATACGGCTATGTTCTGTGTTGCTGCTTTATTGAATCTTTATGTTGAAATTTCAGAATCCCTGTAAGGTTTTAGGGAAGATGTATTTGCAATGTGCACTGCGAGAGAGAGAGAGAGAGCGAGAGAGAGAAAGAGAAAGAGAGGGAGAGAGAGAGAGAGAGATTGCACATCACCGAGAGACTTCCAAACACATCGACTACACACTTCTAAAATCTACAAAGTGCAAATGAAACACCAGACCACACGGATGAGATGAGGACACACTGGAAAAGGAAAGAGGGGATAAGTAAAGGGAGAGAGTGAGAGGGGGAGAAAGAGGTGGAGGAGGGAGTGACGTCACTGCGGCATCATGGGTGAGAGCAGCGAACTCAGTCATCACCTGGAGTCATACTGAGGGAGCGGGGAGGAGAGGCTGCAAAATAAACACATGGAGGCAATGCAGGAGGCAAACCCCCAGGACCTAGTTTTAGTATCAACATTTCACAGTCACTTTTGGGATCTGTATTAATTACTGAGGAGTGAATGAAAGATTACACAACAGGAATAAAATAAAGAGAGACAGAAGACATAAGACATAATGAGGACATAATGACAACTGACAAAATATTATGCAAATAGACAGCAACATACAAAAAGCAAAATGAGACAAAAACAGGACTTCAGAACTGACACTAGACATGACAGATTCCCGTATCTAATTCCTGAGCATAATACCTCAGAGATGATGCATTAAGTTTTATGCAGAGTAGATATTATTAAAATTTTATAACATCATATACTCAAAGTATGTGAGGCGCAGGAGAGCAGAATCTTATCAGCGTAGCCAAATGCGACACAGGAGCCCTGACTCTGTGCTTTGTTTCTGTGATGATAGAAAAAGGTGTGTGAAGAGAACATGACTCGACGTACAGTGTGCCATGAGAGCTTTAGAGGATGACTTTTTTTTTTTTTTCCAGCACTGCATAAATCCCACAGCCGTGCACATTGTCTGCATCACTGCTGCAGGTTTTGCTGAATATTGACTCTTAGAGGTAGAACAAAGACAATACAACTGTTTTGTGCAGTAAGCACAAAGAATGTGTGATTCCGCAATAGTTATGTTGATGCAAATGCAGCGTATGTGTGTGTGTATATGTGTGTGTGTATATACACATGGAGCTTGTGTATGCCGTGTAGAAAGTACAGCTGTTCTCACCCAGAGTGAATGGGGCTGGACACAGTGTTGTGGCTGTGGTCCATAGTGTCTGGTGTCCAGCTGTAGCGTCGCATACACTCGGCGCTGTAGTCTCTGGTCACAGCCAGGTGCTAGGAGAATAACATTATGAAAGAGACAGACAGAGATTGAGGTGCAAAATGAAAAGCAAACAAAAAAGGTAAAGAACAGAAATGGACATAACTGATGAAACACGAGATCCTGGAGTCATGCATGGTATAATGGAGCAATGAGCTGATAACATTTACGGTTTCTTCACTCATAATTCACCAAAAATGCCCCCATTATTAACACCTCACCAATATCAGAACAGAGGACATAATAAATAGCACATTCACATTTCTAAAATACATTTTGCTGAAGCATCAAAGCATGCAACAATAATTATGATGCTTGAAAATGTAGAATCTGGAAATAAGTTTCTGAATCTTTTCTTATGTTACACAGAACAATAGGAACTCAGGATAGTATGGTAGTGTTCAATGAATGACAGATGAATAACACAGACCCCCCCCCCAACAAAAAAAAAAAAAAACAATTATACAAAGACCAAGACTCAAGAGAAATGGGAGCTGAACGTCATGCCAGCGACTGAAAAATGACACAACTGAGGAATGAGGCGGACGTCTGCGAACACTTTATACCTTATTGAGGGGGTCAACCAAGTAGGAGATGTCTTTACAGACACTCTGAAGCTTAAAGGAGAAGAGAGACAGTTCAGAAGTCGCACTGACGACCATCTGTGGTCATTGTTAGCCCTGTATACTGTATGTGTTGTCCAGACTGCTTTGTTTCACTCATGTAATTCCCAACAAAGAAATCATTGTTTTTGTTTTTTTATCCCATCAGGATGAGATGATGCTAGTTGGGGATCTAAATTCAAACAGTCCCAATATAGATTGAAGTGGATGTTATTGAAAACCTCACACAACAGATGTACGACATTTTTTGATTGCATGGAAATGGATCACCAAGTTGAAAAAACTACATTTTGATCTGATGTATATAGAGTTAGTATTAACTTAATTTTTAAAAGATTAGGTCAAATTAAAAGAGCTAATGTAGGAGCATAGAGTTGGCCATGTATAGTTCAGGGTCTCTGGTGATGCGGTCATTGAACGTGTATTTCATATTTCTTTTATTGTTTATAATAAGAGGTTACAGCCACCAACACGAGCGCTGCACAGGACCATCTTTTTCCATGAGAGAGCAGAGAGGGGCCTCCCAGAGCCCTTAAGCTTGAATAAACTCTTCGTCAAGGTGCTATACACTAACCCTCAGCACTTTGGCAGAGGCCAGCATGACATCAGCACTGTCTCTGCTTTGACCCTTTGTGCAAACATGTAGAGCTACCCTGCTCCTTGTTTTTAACTCTACCCTGCTTGTTTTTCCATCAAAGGAACGGACAGAAAGACAGCTAGAAAAATGGTGAAGAAGTAATAAATAGAGGTAACAAAAGATGAAGAAGAAGAGAAATGGTTCTTACCGTGTCCTTTGTGGGGGCCAGAATCTCCTCAATCATCATACTGTCCCGAGCGAAGGAGCTCCGGTTGAGTGTGTTGGACCTATCCGAACTGAAGGAGCGGAGGCTACATGTTACCACGCAACCAAGCGCCGCGGGCGACAACAAGTCACGGGCAGGGGAACACAAAGTAAAAAAAAAAGAAAAAAAAAAGCAAGGGACAAATTACTACATGCAACCTCCAGGGAACCAAGGTTTTTACTTACTGGACAGAGAGAGTCCAAATGTTAGAAGTGGGAAATAGAGGGAGGCGAAAGAGTCTGCAGATAACGCTGCAGGTTATTCAGAGATGGAAATGAGAGTGAGGTCAGTTTCTTTTTGCATTAAGAGATAGAGGTGAAGAGGAAAGGGTAGCTTTTTGTGATCATTTCTCTGTGAAGGTTTGGTTGATATGCATCACTAACGCAGATGTTACTAAGCGTGTCTAATGAATAAAGGCAAAACTAACTAAATATAAGCGTCTGGGAATCATAAGTTCTCTCGGTGCAGATCTTCTATCGGAAGTCACAGGGAAAGAAAGGATTTATAAAAAGGTCTTCAAACTGCTATATTCGACTCCGGCTCAGAGACTGACATCTCTTTATTCTAAGATTAGCAGCTGACCCAGACCTGTTTCACAGCAGCGTCACACAAAAGAGAATCTGGTCTTTTCTATCTGTCTTGCTGCAGTCTGCTTTGTGGCTGTGTGTGCGGGTGACGTGTGCCTATTTTTACAGCCTCTCAGGCTCAATGCGGCGCTGTTGATTCTTTTCAGGGTTATTTTTTTTCTCTTGTGCTCGTTTTTTCTTTTTTCTTTTTTTTTTGTGTACAGTGATTTGATCGGCAAAGAGGAGCCGTAATGTTTGCGTGAATACACACTGCACGGTCACTTACAGTATGTGCATTTGCTGGAAAAGTTGTGTAAATAACATATAGCAAGACTGCTTTTGAATGTTTTTTTTTTGGTTTTTTTTGCATTACAAGGGGCTGAAATTAAAAGATAGCCCAGCGATAACGTCAAAACTTTGTCGTATTCTGTGTGTACTGTATATGTGTGTTATTATGTCCCGTGTGTGAAAGTGCAGAGGGGGGAGAACAAGTGAGCTGAAGGGGGGGGGGGGGGACAAAATGCAGAGCTCAGCGTGTTTGAGTGGGCACACTATTCAGCTCAGAGAGAAGCCCTTTATTCAGCACAGCCTGCCTACCCCGCCATCGAAGTTACCAAGCAACTCTGTGTGTCCTGAATGGACTCGCTGGCATGGCAGTGCCGCGCCCCCTTCCCCACCGCTCGCACCCGGACTGTGTTTTTCTTCTTGACAGCTTCTTTCTCTTTCTGTCCATCCTCCTCTCAACGTCCATACATTATGATTTCCTCTTTGCGTCCCTCTTTCTTTCTTGTTTGTCCTTAATGATCTGTTATTCATTGATGCATGTCATGGCACTCTTTTTTAGTAAGGCTGCCTGATCATCCCTTGCTCTCTTAACCACCGCAAGTTGCAAAGTCTCTCCTGTGTACCCTAAAATTCATAAAAGGGAAGAAGAAGGGACGTTTTCTCTGCTTTGCTGCTTTTCTCTAACACCAATCCTTCTTTGTCACCATCCTTTCACGTTCCAAACCACTCCATTCATTTGACTATTGATCAATCAGTCTGTCTAGTGGCTAACTACACCTTCTGTTATCCAAACAACTTGTTCTGTCTTGAAACCACACATAAATAACAACAGTCCTCCTTTTTTGGGCAGTGGACACAGGGTTTGAGTCATTATGCGTCCATTTGGTTGTTTATGCGCGCGTGTTTTGGGTAAGTAAGAACAAGCGTGTCTGTCCTGATATATGTGAGAGATCTTACGATGGACCGAAATTCCAGAGTAATCTCCGGCTGTAAAGTTTCCATCTCTGAAAATTTCACATCTAAAACAATTCTGAATAACGCTGGGACAACTCCAATGACTAGTGTAGAACAGGGGGGGGGGAGGTTATGAATAAACGGAGGTATTTGATCCCTGGAAGTTACACTCAGAGGGACAAGTAAAACATAAATAAAGTGCCACTTGTTAAAGAAAAAAAGCCACGTCCAAATGTGAAAGATTATTCCACACAACTTCAATCGAAATCAAGTCAGCAAATTTAAAAATGAAAAATCTCATTTCCAGCAAGATCGCCTTTTGTCCAAACCTGCGTTAGAAAGTGAATACATTTATATTTTTCTGACAAGATGATGGGATTCAAAAGATGAGAAACAAGTGTTAATGTAGAGCAGCTATTATGGACATTTACACAAATCCACAGTCACAGACAACAACAGCAACACTCGATGACGACGATGCGCGATGGATGACTCATGGTTTGGGTTAGTGGTTTTATGGGTGTACTGTCAGAGTTACACAGCAGTTTGGGGATCACAGGGGAAGGACACCATTCAGAGCTGCTTACTACGACTACTAGAACTACTTTTTTTATCTTACCTGATTCTAGGGCTAGAATGAAAGACGAAAGGGGGGGGGCAGAAAAACAAGGGAAAGGACAAAATAGAAGGGTGAAAAGCAAAGCATTTTGAAGACATTCAAGCATGACATGCCTTTCTTTATTATCCTCATGACAATAATGCTGTGCTTTGGCATAGTTTAACGCTTCAACTAGACATAAAAGTTTTTAGGGTTTTACGTGGATTTGCTTATATGTGTGTGTGTGTGTGTGTGTGTGTGTGTGTGTGTGTGTGTGCAGCCCAGTCAAAAAAAAAGCATACCATGCAATGTTGATGTGATAAACAGAAAGGTATAGGAAGAGAAAAGAACTTGCTCAGCATAATACATTCAAAATCAATAAAATACTGAATATTAGAGCATTGCATTCAAATCCTGCAAAAAGAGAAGGCAATAATTCCCCAATCCGTTTCAGTTTAAGAACTGTTCTTCTACTTCATACGTTTGCGTAATAGAACCTGGAGTATATGTTTGACTTTTAGTGTGTGTCGCTCTTCTTTTTAGCAGATTGTGATGTAACAAATTAAAAAAGAATAACTTTTATCTGTAGAACCATTATGATCATAGGCACAACAAACAGCAATTTCAGCACCTAAACGATGCTCCAAACCCCCTAAATTAAAGTCCAAAACAGTGTTTTTGTTTTATTATATCATAAACTGCAAACAACAATTCCCGTAAATGTATTACCCCTGTCAAAACTCTTTCCATGATGCTCACCAAACAAGCTTGTTTACATGGAATCGCTCAGGGTTTTTTTTTTCCTTGTCTGTGGTGGCCTGCTGATGTGTGCAGCTTCCTGTCACAGTTAGTGTTGTTGTTTTTTTTTTTAATCAATCCAACCATCACAGTGCATGTGCCATCTGCTAGTGTGGCTACAATACACTCAGGGACTGCACAACACTTGTCTTGTGTGCCTGCTGATGTGTTTTCACGAGCAATGCCAGTTTTCCACTGCATACTTTGTCCACTGTTCGACAGTGTGTAGGCCTGCGCTGCTTCCTGATGTGCAGCTGTTCACACAGAGGATCAAAGATACCAGAGTTCAAATTGCTCAATCTATATCTCATGTGTTATACGTACAAGGGGCCATGTGTATAATCTTTGAATAGGTTTGAATGGGGCCACACACAAAACGCTGAATCATTTTGTCAGGTTGAATCATTAGATGGCAACTTTCCAGATGCTTTCACTGTCAATTTCCATTCTTCTGTTTGTGGTGTGTGTCTGAGTATGTGTGTGTGTGTCTGTGTGTGTTTAAAGGGCTGTACATTATTAAATCAGTCCAGCATACACCGTACAATCTAGAAAAACGGCATACCATGTCAGATGTGGCGTGATAAACTTATGAATGCTTATGTAGGAAGAACAGCCTCAGCACCACTGGAAATGATGATGTCACACACTGAGGATACTGGCCGCACTTCCATTACAAGTTGGATAAAAAAAACAGTTTGACAGTGCTGCAGAGCTCGTCAGTGGTTTTCTTTAAATCAAAGTGACAGGTGCCTACCTGGCTGAACGGGCTCCAATGCTGAAACCCATGTACCCCTCCTGAGGGAGAGAGTCGTCCCCCAGCTCTTTGAGGTCCTGAGGCCGCAGGTATTTGTCCGTGTCCCCAGTCATTGCATCCTCACCTGATGGGAGGGAAGGGGGGGGGGGGGGGAGAAGGGGGAATCATAAAATCCTCCAGTCAACTTTAAAGCTAAATCAGGAAGAAGAAGAAAAAAAATAGAAGAGGCGATGCACCACCTCAAGGCGAAAAACAAGCCGTCACCACTGTTTGGTTAAGGCACCTAAACCAGGCCTTAGATCATTTATCAACACCACTCTGCCTTTAAACCCAGCATTCCTTGCTGCAACTGCATAGCCCACTGCAACTTTTTCTTAATAATTTGGCTGTGGCAGAGCAACAACATGCAGATGGAAAAAAAAAAAAAAGAGCAGCGACGACTCTGTCAGAGGTTAGACAGGGACACAGTAAGAGAATAATAATGCCATCAGGGAGAGAGCAGCAAAGCCACTTTGCGGTATATCTGGAGCCCCCCAGTAAAACCAAACGCAGCTCCTCACATCACTCAAAGACAGCGCAGCAGAGGCTTAAACAAGCGACTATATGCAAGAGCACAACGAGAAGAGAATGAGCAGAAAGTGGACAACCAGCATCGCACCTCGATCGGCGGACCGGTGGACGATGACACGCCGGTCAACGAAGCCGGCGGAGCGGCGACAGTGTTTCCCCTTCTCCCTCATGTCCGGCTCTGTCCTGCCTGCAACACTCCGCTCCTTCACCGCAGCCCCTCCCCCTACCTTCAATACTGCCGCACTCCGTTCACACACCAACACCGCCATCAAGTTAGGGGAACGCTACAAGTAGACGTTTCCGGTGTCAAATTTCAAAATAAAACCATATGGTAAAAGTCTTAAACTGTTCAAATCAATGATACTATTCAACATGGTTTTGGCTATCCTGACATTTTTTTTTTCTCGTCTGGTGGCATGGGTAAACAAATTGCTGTTGCATGTTGAAATGTCTGTCTCCAACAGCAAAATAGCAAACAATAGCCTAATACTTTCATTTAGGGCGACAATATAGCCATGAAGCATATATTTAATCAGCGCATTGGGGAGTTATTTTTTTTTTAATCAAAATTAATGGTAGCCTTTTAAGTTTGCTCAATCTTTGTTCGAGCTGTAAACCATTTCAGACAACTCTGAAGAACACCCAACATTATGTTTCAACAAGGACTAAACAATCAGATGTTTGAGGACAATATTCAAAATATAAAAAAAAATAAGCTGTATTTGCATTTGTGACTGCTAAGCTGTAATTTAAGTCATGCCTTTATTTTGATGGTTACTAATGATAACCCCACTTCCGGTGCTTCTCTGGTCGGTTTGTCTGACTTGACACAACAGGGAAACAATTGGCTCCCGCTGCTGTAATAATGTTTTACCGTCCCATTCAAGCTCAGATACCCAACTACACACATAGTCACCTCTACACACACACACACACACACACACACACACACACACACACACACACACACACACACACACACACACACACACACACACACACACACACACACTTATAGGCTACACACAGGCCTACACGCACACTTGACACACACCTATTAGGCTACTTCTTTTAAAATAAAGCATCTTCTATAACGAAGTCAGGGCAACAAAAATTCAATGAAACATTTAAACCTGTAGGCCTACAACTAAAAAGATCAAATGTCATTAATAACTTTACAACTTCACCGTCTAGGTAGTTTATAGGGAACACAATCGTTAAAAAAGAAAGGTAGTGAGTGACAAATGGAATAATAATTCGGTCGATCCTCTGTCTCTTATTACACAGCAATCAAAACTACACACACCGGCTACTGAAACGTATTCGGATTCTCTAGCGACTTACCTTTGACTAACGCAGCCATAATGATCTGAACTATTCTGAAGTTTCCCTGAGTAATTTATCTTTCTCTACAGCTAAAAAAAAAAAAAAAAACTTGTGCGGGACGAAAAGTAGATCCAGTATGAGGCGACGACTGTCAAGTGGTCCATTCACTGCTTGAGTTGCTGATGGAAAAAGTTGCCCTCTTTTCACCCCCACACACTTAACTCCACTCAGACCGATTTGCGCATTTGTCTCCGGCGCGCACTTTATCGCTTGCAAAAAAATGAAACTCAAAAACTTTTCCAAGTAGTGCGTCTTTTTTTTTTTTTTTGTTGTTGCCCCCAAACTGTGCAAAATGCTGGGTTATTGATAGCGTAAGACCAAGCACTCTGTCATCGGCGGTCACCAGGGGTTAATTCCCATGCAGGCGGTTCAAAAAAAGCTCATCTCATTGGATTTAAAGACAGAAAGTCTCGGTGCGTCTCTGGCTCAACTCCATCCATATCAAAGCGCGTGAACGTGGTCTGACAGCTGACAGCAAACGCCTCAAACAAGGGAAACCTCAGCGGAGGAGACAGTGACGAAGAGAAGAAGTAAACCCTCGCTAAGCGATCCTTTTTTTTCCTTCCTCTATAGAGACAGTTTGGCTGCTTGTCAAACTGGGAGTGGGGCTCAACTACTGATGAAATAGCAGCAGCAGCAGCAGCAGCAGCAGCAGGCATCATTTTGACATTAATATCTTGCACAACAATTCCCTCTAGTTCTTCATTCTGCATGTTGCAAACAGTTACTAATACTTGCACAGGAAAAGTCAGTTCAACTCAATCACGAAGAACTGTTCAAGAGTTAAACCTTCAAATTCACAAAACCAACTGCGAGAAGAATACCCTCGAATACAATATGTAAGCATCATAAAGACACTCCATAATGTGATGAAAGAAGAGCACAACAAGTGGTATTCAAAATATGGTGCAATTAGAGGAAATAAGTGCAAAGAAAGCATAAAGAGTCACACACAAATACACACACACACACACACACACACACACACACACACACACACACACACACACACACACACACACACACACACACACACACACACACACACACACTTCAGCAGTGACCTGTCACACTCACTCAAACCTACAACATAATAGGATTGGCTTCCCCCATATAGGATTAAAGAGAGATGTGGACACTCTTTAAGTCCACTAACTCCTTTCACTCACTCACTCACACACACACGCACACACGCACGCACACACACACACACACACACACACAATGTATACACAAAAACATCCTACAAAGATGACTGATTGCAGGCCTGAACACAACACTCTGCTGCTGCATGAGAAGCAATGCAAATGAATTATGTATGCAGTATAAACAGTTTATGTGGAGAACATGAGGCCATGGATACACTTATTTATAATTCCTGCCTGGTAGTGATAACAAGCTCAATCATGTATTTAGCAATGAGGATCTTCATCATACGGCTGCCGTACACACTCGTTCATTTTCACTTGATCTGTGCGTGTGCGTAACTTGTTGAGTCTAGCTGTATCACTTGACATAGAAACTCCACACCTCCCTCCTCTGACGGTCCCCAAAGCAACGGCCCATGAACGAGCTCATCAATTTTACAGGCCGACTGGCTCTGTGGTTCCAAAAACAGAGGACAGAAGACTGAAGAGGACAGGCTGAAACAATGTGACTTGTACCATAAACTTGGCAGTGACATTTGGCCCTGCAGTGACACCACCACAGCTAGCCCGCTGCTAACTATGCTACTATGTAATGTATTAAGATTATCACACAGTATAACAAGATGATTTCATTGACCTTGTTCTCATTTTCTCACAGTACCTCCTTCAAAAAGATTGCACAAAGTGTCTTTGTAAAGGGAGTCATGTGGTATGTGGTAGACTTGTGCTGTTCGAGTGCTTAAAAATAACAGCTTTTAAAGAAGCAGTGAAAATAGCGTCAGCAGTGTCAGTTTGTGAAGAGAAGCACACTCAAACCTGACAGAAAACCAAGACCAGATTCAAGGCTCAAACTGTTCAATAATTTAATGTTTACTGATGGATTTCTTGGTCAAAACAGGAACAGCTGAGACTTTAGATTTTCCCTGCTGATGGCAGACTGATAATTACAGTAAAAAATAGAATATCTGCTCTGTCTGACACTCTTCATGGCCGTTGTTATGAGAATAAACTTTCCATTTACTGCCCTCAGATTTTTGTTGAAGTGTAACCTGTGCATGATTCCCGCTGTAGAGAGACTATGTTCTAATGAAAATGAAGAGCAAAGCAGAGTAGTATAGTATAGCAGAGACGTAGAGGTTAGCTCATTAGAAAGGAAGGTGAGTTCTGCTTATATTAAAGGAAAACACACAAACAACAGAGGAGGCAAACTTATGACAAGTACCTTCATCACCATCTGAAAAAGACTCCTCATTGAGAGTTTCCGGCACATTGGCCCGGACTGTGTGATTTAGACACACACACACAGTGAGACATGCACATGTTAATGAACAATGACATCATATTGCACACAGTCACAACGTTACAGAACTCATGCAGTGTAATGATTTTACTTTACTCCAATAAAATCAAGTCACAATAACAGTTTACAATATAATAATTCATTCAATTTTAAGTAGGACACTGATAAAAAGAATGGTGGGAGTGAATAGTAATTATGAGCATGTTTTACATACCTTCATCGTCTGACATGTCGAGGAACTCGTTCATGGTCTCTGGGACGTTGATTTTGTGTTTCTCTGACGCACTCTGTAAACAGGAAAAGCAAAGGGACAACTAAGCTCCTTTTTTTTTTAAAACAACTTCATAAAAATTCAAGTCCAAATGGAAAGATGAGTAGGATGTCATATTTGAAAAAAAGATGGCAATATTAAGTCAAACTCAAGACATGGCTTTTAAGTCTGCCTTTTAATTAAAAAATGTGACATAGTGTAACTTTATTGATTGATTTAGTACACTTTTCAGCCCGTTTTTATTAATTTATAGATCATCTTATTCTGTTTTATTTTACTTGATTATTTTTACTCTTATTTAATTTTCCTTTAATCTTGAAAGCTTATTTATGTTTTGTCCCACTTCCTGTTTCCTCATAATGAACAGAGGAAACTGCAAACACAGTTTGTCCGATTCTGTATTTATCGAGTCCTTCATTTATCAGAATGTTTTTTTTTTACCTTGCGCATGAATCCTTTCTTGGGGGTTCTCATATTTATTTATTACTTTGTTACTTTATTATCAGATGACACATGCAGTGTCTTATCGTCCTGAACCTTACACGTGTGTTTTTAAAGCTTTCAATAATACCAGTAATCTCTGGAGTTTCTCCCAGCTCAATGTTGATGTTTTGATACCCTGAGCAGTTTAAATCTGACTTTAAAAAAGGCAGCACTGAGGTTCAGGAAGATTAAGGACTGGGGTAAAAAGAAAAAAAAGTAAATGAGAAAAGAAATTGAATATAAAGCGCTGTGATAGACGGACATCACCTAATCTTTTTTCATATTTTAAAGACGACCAAGTTTGCTAATATAAAAGCTCAGTACTTACATTCCAACTTAAGTGCGACCTACAGTATGCATCTATTTCCTAATTTGGACTTTAAACTAAATTTTTAAGTCGGTAAAAAAGGAATGATACTATAATGTGTCTGCAGGGCATTTCCCCTAGCTAACTGACCAGCAGAGGTGCTGCAGGCTTCAGATGGTTCAGAAGGTTACTCAGGGGCATAAAACAACAGCGAGGCCTCTGCACACAAAAGTGTAGGGAAGCGACCTCGACCTTGAAGTTTCTTCAGTGCAGATAGAGACAGTAATGACTAATACACTTGCTGCCGATTGTGCAGGATCTTCAGTGACCTCTCCGTCCGTCTCTTCACTCAATGTCCCTCCTCACCCTCCTGTTACCTCTTTATCTTCACGCTACCTTTCTTTCGTTCCCGCTTTCACACCTTTATCCCTCCTCCTCCCATCGCTGCTCTTCCTCGTGGACATGTGTGTGGCTCACAGTGCTGTAATGGACTGGGCTATTTGAGGAGAAACCTTAAGCTCTGGTCTAAGCCCTCACTCTCGCTCTTAATAAGGATAACCTCACACATGTGACACAGCGAGTCTGACTGACTTACTTGCTGCCTCATTTTCAGGCTTCACACACTGACTGTGCTCACAGTATGCTGCTGGCTCACTGGCCGAGTTCTAACTTAAAAGAAACAGCCAGACAATAAAGTTTAATGTCTCTGCAAAGTAAGGATGCACTAAGGGTTTAACATGTATCAGTCCTAAAGCAACATGTACTTTACATTACTGCAGACAATTTTCAACAGAATAACCAAGAATATCACAAGTTTTTACAGATACAGAAATCCTCGTAATACAACTATGAGCCAAAAACAAACTTTTGGTTTCTAACTTTGTCTACAATCCTTCTTTTTCTTTAAGTTCCTGATTGCAATTTGTTTCAGTAGCTCACTGAGAAGCTCTTGAATCCACCACCAAGTGGAAGTCTTAAATCCAAAAACTGCTCTTGCAAGAGCATGGGAAAATATCCTCGAGTTGGAAACAGTAAAAGTGATGAGGGGTTCAAGAAGGTCAATAAAGTTTTCGCCACCCTAGTTTCAAATCAGTCACTACTTAACACATGACCGTTGACTTTGTTTAAACTGTCCATTTTGTTTATAATTATTGTATTATGTATGATGACTGAATACAAAATAATCTTTGAATGTAACATATTAACATAGTTATTTTTTATTATTAGGCAATAGAAAGTATAGTTGTATATTTTGTACTATTTTATAATTTCTATAGGATTAATTTTTTATCGCTTGCTTCTAAAACACAGAATGTGAGAGCGGCTTCCTCTTTCAATAGTGTTGTACTTGCAATGACAATCAAGACATTCTGATTCTGATTCTTTAGAAAAATCTTTTTAATGTCAATAATATTGCGGTCAAAAATTGCTTAATATATCAGATATTTCTTCAATATTGTATGTATTTAATGTATTGGGCCATTTCTAGTATTTAACCTGTTTCCAAGTTACAGAGAATATTCATTAGGCTTAAAAGACTTTGTAATCTTTTGGTTTACTGATATACATTAGAGGGAGTGAACTGGATCAAATGAGATGCAGCAGACATGAGTGCAGCGCCTTACCATGGAGGTCAGGTTTTCATCCGTCACTGGCCTCAAAGTGTCCACCACGGAGATGTACCCTAAACGGCAGGCGATGGACAGGGCAGTGTTCCCGTTCTGACCGGCAACAACAAACCAACAGGAAGTTATTCACGGTCAGGAGGCAAACAGAAAAACACAAAAGAGCATTCAGTATGTCATCAAGCTTCTGCTCTGTTGGAGTGTGAATGTGTGTTTGTGTCTGTGCCAGTGTGTTTGTGTTTGTGCGCTGACCACAGTGAGTTCGTTGGCCGAGGCCCCGTGCTGAAGCAGCAGGTTGATGATGTGGGTGTGGCCCTGCTGAGCCGCCTGATGGAGAGGAGTGTACCCGTTCTAGACAGAGACACAGTCAGGGTAAGAGAGTAAATATTGAATCTGTACGTATGAAGTATTATGATCTGAAGAAATGTCTTTCTTTTTTTTTTTTTTTACCTTTGTTTTGCCATTTATCCTGGCATGATTCTGCAGCAGGAAGTTTGCCATCTTTGCGTTACCATAGTGACAGGCCACGTGCAGAGGTGTGTAACCAATCTGCAAGAGGAAAGTAGATAGATTAAGAGAAACAGGCATTTAAAGGGCAAGAAGACGAAAATAAAAAAAGGAATATAGTTATGTATGTCTCCTGGAAGGAACCTCTATTAAAGTCACATTTTCCGAGAGAAAGAACATTTCTTTTTTTTAGGTGCATTTTATAAAAATGCGGTAGGCTAACTATTGTGCAAAAAAACAAAAAAACAGTTTACTCAGGAAATAAAAAAACTGCCTCTTCTTCTTAGCATGCTTTTTCTAGTTGTAAACATGTTTCAAGCTACATCCTATTTCATGTCCTTGTTTATGAATACAGGGCATGATGGTAATGGATTAGATTAGATGAGTGTATAACCTATTTGCTGTAAACAACTGTCCTGTCAGCACAAACACACACACACACACATACACACACACACACACACACACACACACAACCACACACTCACACGCACGCGCATAACCTCGTGTTGGTCCAACCTTCAGCTGCAGCACCTTTGTCTCAGTGAATGCGAGCAGCCTGTTATGAGGCCTGTGTGTCTTTTTCAATGTAACTGACAGAGAGTGACCAAATAATAGCGCATCATGTAAGTGCTCATGTGCGTGCCTCTTTTTCACTGCAGACCAACCATAAGGACATGATCACCTTACACTCAAATAGCAATCCTTTATTTATGTAGCAAGTGAGATGACTGCAGACGACTGTAATTGTTATATTATGTGTGAGTATATTTTTCCCATGATGAAAATCCAGGAAAATCTTGCTCCGATAGAGAGAAAAAAACACAAAGAACCGCTTCTGTGTAAATAAAAGAGGCATGAAACAGCACTATAGAAAAGAAGGTTATCTGTCTGTGTGTATGTGTGCTTATAATATACGCGAAGCTTTACTTTAGTTTGTGGGTTGACATCAGCCCCGTGGTTGAGAAGGACTTCTGCAACATTGATCTTGTCCTCCTGAGCTGCCAAGTGGAGTGGTGTAAGTCCGCTCTGGAAATGCAGAAAGGAAAACACATTAAAACGTGTGAACATAGGAATTCATTTGTGGAGATGACGGTCCATAACATGACTGCTCTCTCACTAAGGAATCAGAATGCTGGAGAGTTATCTGAAAAGACTAAGGAACAATCTGAAACTAGTCTGCAAACAATGACACTCGTTAGACATTTTTATTTTCAGATAAAATCGTCATAAAGGTCTAGCAATGCTTACATGCTATTTGTTTACAGTACGCTGCTACATTACAGTGAACGAACTAACACTTGTCTTGCATCTGAACATGCTGTTGCATGCTGACGTTCCTACTTTTACCTTATTGCACACGTTAACGTTAGCGTTCTTGGTCAGGAGCAGTGACACCAGGTCCACGCTGCCCTCCTGTGCCGCCAGATGAATGGGGCTGATGCCTTGCCGCGTGACAGCATTGGTGTCGGCGCCGTACTCCAGCAGTGTGGTCCCAATGTCCATTTGGTTCTTTTTGGCAGCAATGTGGAGTGGTGTGTAGCCATTCTGAGGCAGGACAAAGAGATGTATGAGTGTAAGAGTCTTTGATCGAGTTCTTCTCATTCATCTGCATTTGTTGACGAGTCTATCATCCTATTTATGTCATTGAAATGAGAATTGACAGATTATGCAGAAGAAAAAGGGAAGATTTTCACTTGCTGTCTCTTCCTATATAATCAATTCATAGCAGGATCAAATTGGAATTCATTTAAAATACTTTTGACTGTATTATAAGATTATAGGAAGGTCACCGGCTGAACGGCCATCAAATACAACAGGGCATAAATGCATTTTTCTTGTTAATCCCAAATCAAGACCCCAACATAAATCTAATTTAATAGAATCTAACAAAAACTGTCACAAGTGTGTCAAGAAGTGTGTTTTTACATTTAAGATTCATTTAACATAATGGTCTCAGCTGTGGTTTGACCTACAGGTGTAGTGCCAAATTATGTTCTCTGACCTCAAATAAACGCATATTCTTATTCCAAATATAGTCTTAGTAACACTTCTCTTTTCAACAGAAAAAAAAAAAAAAAATTTTGGAAAATTTCAATCACAAACTGGATTTTTAACTTGATCTCTAATGGGAAAACTGGGATTATTTGAAGAACTTGTAAATTAACTTCTGAAACTTCAGAGAAAATGTTTCTTTAGCTGGCTGAACATATAACAAACACTTGACCAGCAGGGTAACAGCCACCATTCTGACATTCCTAACTTTAGTCACCATGGAGAGGACATGTTTGTAAACTAAAGACTGCATTTAAATACATTTCACTCCCTACTGTGGGCCGGTGGGTTTACAGAGACTCTCTGGGCTGCGTTGAGGTCCACAGAGGGGGTTAAAGAGATTTTTGGGGGAAAGTGGAGAGAACGCTAGAGTCACTGTCCTCCTTCTGTGAATCAAAATTAAGTCAACAAGTCTTGTTTCATTAGTAAAAATCCTTATTTGAGATCCTCTTTTCTGAGATGAAATGCATGCACCATGTTTTATTTTGCAACTTTGTGATTATACACTGTCAGTATTTATTAGTGCAAACAATGTGAGACAACTCCTTGGGAACACACAGATTCATCCCTTTCCAAAAGCACCAAAATTAGACCAAGCACCAAGCCAAATAAAAAAAAAACCTAATTTATAGCAGGAGAAAGAGAAGGAAAGAGGGCCAGGGAGGGATGACTAAGAGTGCAGGAGGGTGGGAGGCTGGAAAAGTAAAGGAATAAATAGAGACAGATACAGATTAGGAATGAGAGAGCTAACAGAAACAGGAACAGCTAGCAAGCAATAATTCACTTTACAAGCTTTGGGAACTTGTGAAGGATGTCTGTCTACTCTGTCACCCTAACAAGAAACAGAGACTTCCCGCCATATTTTGTTGGCCTGTTGTTCTACTCTTCTCAAACTTGTTCTGTGGTTTTGAAACACAACCAAAACCTGGCAGGAGACTTACCACAACTTAACAATATGTCACTGACCATATGTGTTTGTGGGTTTCAAATACTTTAATACGTTTGCTTTTAATTTGGAACACACAAAATTTACAACCCTTGAGCAAACTTTAAAAACTGTCTGGTTCTTTGAAGTAGAGACCCTGGATTATTTCACAACCTTTTGTAACAAATTATCAGTTATACTTTATGACAATTTTAAAACGCAGCATCAAATAAACCACCAAGCAGAAAAAACGCCAACTGTGTAAAGCTAAACCTTGTCTGGTCAAGTGATTTCAAAGATTTTCCAAACTCAAAGAAAAAGCAGTCCAATCACTCACAACATCAAACACAAGACCAGACGTGATGGGAGAAAAATGGGTGAGCGTTAGATCTTGAACAGATGTACTTTACATAAGGATTATTATATTAATGGTCAGAGATGACACCAAGCCAGGTGATTTTATTGTGTGCATATGTGGGTTTGTGTGGATACCTTGGCGGCAGCATGTGGAGAAGCTCCCTGATCCAGCAGCAGCAGAGCCACTCTCTGATTATCGTAGTGAGCGGCTACATGCAGTGGAGTTAGCCCGCTCTGAAACACCCACACCAACACACACATACGAGTACACAAACATCCGCAGACACACAAGCATGCAACACATCACCAGGTTAGAAAGTCACTGCACACACACACGAGCACAATCCCGCAGGTAAGTAGAATGAAAGAATCAGAGCAATGCAGAAACGCGATGAGAAATGTATATTCAAGTGATGGAAGCTAGTTAGTACAGAGAACAGTTTAGAGCAACAACCTCATGCTGAAATATAGAAGAAGAAGAAGCTTCAAAAAGATGACACTATGAGTCGGAGGTCTGAGAGCAATGGTGTGATTTTCTTTCCTGCATCACTAGTAGACGTTGTAGCATTAGAGTAGAATTTTTACTAGCAGCAGCACCAGCAGCAACATGTTGTTTTTATTGTTCACGGTTTAAAGAGCGTCCTCCAGACTGTACAACCAGACCTGAGTCACCAGGATGCTCAACAGGCAACTGGTGTTTCCAGCACATTAAACAAACACTTGCATTTATTCTGAAAAATAGTGCAGAGTGTGTCATGAAAAGCCCATGAGCTATTGCAATGCATTGTTACAACTCTGCACAACATTACTTGGGGTTCAAATACTCTTTTGTTTAAAAGGTAAGTAAACGTAATAAGTATTTAATCTCATCTTTACAGAAAATTAGAGTGCTTAAATTCAAAGAAAGGCCTTGAGGTTTGGCTTTGTGTTCAGACTGATCAATGTGACTGATTTTAGCATGACACCAACAAACAGTGTGGAATCGTCATTATCATACCTGGCTACCATTACGGTAAATGCTCTCAGATGGTGGCACACAGACATACAAATCCAGCCAACACCATAATCAGTGCCAGTAAGCCTGTATGTGAGAATGTGTACACAAATGTTGTCTCCCAAGGTGCATGTGGAGGAGGAATGGGCGCATTTCATGAGGGGGAATAAATGAGAATGTACCCCAAAGGCTTTTATAAAAGTACAAGCATCTGTTTGCTGTGTTATCCAGGGATCACTGACACTCCTCCACAAAACCACCTCTATCGCCCCTGTTTCCAGCTGTAGCTTGGAAATACAACTCCAGAAGTGTCCTGTTTACTCTCTGGGAGACAGGCTGAATAAGATTAAGCAACAGAAAGAGCTTTGGGATGATTGATGATCACAATATCTGAATTACTTCCTAATTTTAGTCATTTGTTGGAAAGATCTCAGAAGACAAGTTGAATAAAATGTAGAATTAAAATGGGTCTGAGATAACGCAAAAAGGCACGTTTGTGTAATATTCTCCTGCAGAGGCTTTGTACGTCGTGATAAAAGATTACCTTCTTCATTTTGCTGCTCATAATCCCTTTGGCTGTGTTGAATATGTTTCCTAGTGCTTATATTTTATGTTAGCTGGAATTTCTAAGGATTATTTGAAACTATGGCACTGATCCTGTAACACCTTGACGTTAGTTGCTTGTATTGACGATGCAGAAATCTGAGTTTATACTCTTGTTGCCTTAATTTTTCTCTGAGCTGCATAAGAGTGTCTTGTAAAAGGCACCCCCCTCCTCAGAAAGCGTATGCTTCCCTACAGGTCGAAGTTTTGGACAAGATTTAGATGAACTCTAACATGAGTGTGTAGCGCAACTGGACAGATAGCTCACCTTTCCTGCAGCATCAGGCGAAGCCCTTTTCTGTAAGAGGAGACTGGCTACCTCCATCTTGCCGTACTTTGCTGCCACATGCAGGGGGCTGAACCCTTTCTGTTGGGCACAAAGGAAGACACTGAATAAAAGACAGTGGGAAGATGGAGAGCAATGAAAGGATGGTGACGGTAGAGATCGTTATTCAAACAGGAAGAGATTGTTTGCGTTGTTTAAGGCCAGCCTTCTGCTGGTCGGGGTCAAGTTCTTCTCCACAACAACATAGTTTCTCACAGACTTGAGAGGAACTCTTCTGAATTACATTTTTAAGCAAAAAGACTAAGCAAAAAAAAAAAAAAGCATTTATGTTAAACATGAAATTCTTGAAAATGTTTTGTTTTAACTAATGTCTTGTTTGGATAATATTTAGCATAAAATTAAGGTTAAAGACATTTTCAAGATAAAAAAATGCAGATGTACGCTATTTTGAAGCAAGGATTTTGACAAATATATATCATGGAATGCAACACTAAAATGTAAGCTGACCAACAAATAACTATAACATTATGAGTATGAGTAATTCAGTAAGAGCACCAAATAAACTAAAGACTGTTTTAAGGGATGTGATACCCTGAGAGACTAACCCATAGGCCCTTATTTCCTCTTGTATTCCATATCTATATTTAACAGCTGTATAATGTGATCATCTTAATCTTTGCTTCCTTCCTGTGTGTATGTGGAGATATTTTAAGACATTAGGTCATATTTTCCAGAGGAATGTGGGACTCCCACAGATTCCCATTCCATGCTCTGAAACACTTGACCTCAATTGTGTGATGGGTTCGGTCCGTTTTCACACAGTTTGGATGATGATTTGGAAAACAAAGGGTGACTGTGAGTTTGAGGTGTTTTTAGAATCAGGTTCCTTTATGTAAAAATGTTTCACAGACATAAGAGGTTTAATTTTAATTTCTCTGTTCCCCAGATTGGTATGACATCATTTGGACAGCTGACGTAGGTGATGTCCCAAAAGATGTGTGTGAGAGAGAGACAGAGAGTTAAAGAGAGAGAGAGAAAGAGCACTGGCACCATGGGGTTTACCCTTCATTAAACTGTTCCACTGATAAAGGGTCACCTTCAAAGAAAACCCCCCAGCAATAATATACACACGTACAACGAGACTACTCCACTTCTCTGTTTGACCTTGATATGTGCGGTTAGACCACCATCACTAAAAATTTATGTAATATGTGCAAGGCTGACTCCCTGGATCAAATTAAAGAATCCTAAATTTACTTTCCCAAAACTGTCATTTGAATGTGAGCAGTGTAAAAAAAGATGTGACTCCACTGTGTGGTAGCACATACCATGGTTGAGTGTTGTAGGCAGAAGTCTATGAATCCTTCTTTATTATAACTAAGCAGCAAAAAACTATGACGAATAAACATGACAATACAGCACAATGGAGGTTATTTCAAATGGACACTGGTGCCCACTGGTGGAGATACATGGCATAAAAAAAAAAATGTGGTTGTTGTTTTCAGATGGCTTTAAATGAATGTGATGTCAAGTGAGGGGAAAAGAGACATCAGACTCCATGTCTTTAAACATTTAAATAAGTTCCCACCTTAGTGGAAGAAGAGAGCGAGGCCCCGTTCTCTAGCAACATGGCAGCAACATCCTGGTGTCCTTCCCGGGCAGCCAGGTGTAGGGGGGTGTAGCCTGAGGTGGTGGCAGCGTTGGCAGAGGCGCCGCACTGCAGCAGCTGTTGTACGATGTCGACTTTGCCCAGCCGACTGGAGATGTGCAACGCTGTCTGGTCGTCCTGCGGAGAAGGTGAAAGCGACTTTTGGCCCCGTATTTCATCGTTCTATGCTTCATTTTGTTTGCTTCACAACACAGTGATTAATAATGCGGCTCAGTGCTCTAACCTTGGACTTGGTCTCCACCTTGGCTCCGTTCTTAAGCAGGTATCGGACTACGTCTGCCTGGCCTGCCCTCGCTGCCATGTGGAGAGCCGTCTCACCTCGCTGGGAGCCACACAGACACAGTCGTCAGCAGGAGAGTTTCATATAGAACTATTTGAATTCTGAACAGAGGAACTTATTTTAGATATATTTAGCATCATTACAAATAATCCACTCACCACGTTGGTTGTGTTGGGTGAGGCGCCGTGTTGCGTCAGTGCATGGACAATGTTCTCATGACCCATGAAGGCTGCAACATGGATCGGCGTCAGGCCAGACTATAGAGAACCAGACATGAGCATTAGCACTAAAAATACAACACAAGCAAAGCTTTGAAAGACTAAAAATAGGTTGAATCAAAGACATGCAAATCAAAGGGCAAAGCACAATGTATTCAATGGTGCAGCTCAAACACAAACTCAGTTTTCAGTTGTACCTCAGTGACAGCCTGGATAGACGCCCCATGTTTTAGAAGAAGCTCCATCACTTTCACTCTGTTCTTCTTGCAGGCAATGTGAAGCGGCGTGAAACCATTCTTCACATAGAGACAGGGGAAAAAAAAACATTCAGTTTAAAAAGTCACTACTGCAGAATCTTTGCAGCTGTACTGTAGCCATAAAACATCTATGTAGCGTGTATGATGTAGGTTCAATGTGCTGCTGCTGTCACAAGACAAGCTTGTAAAGATTTTTCACTCACAGTAAAACATTTCTCCTGCCTAAATGACAAATACTGTATACAACAATATAATTACGAGATGCTTTTTTTTTCAATACAACAATATAACTTTTTAATAATGAAAAATAAATAAATTGTGACACACTGAGGTGTGCCCAGCTGGGTGAACCTGAGGAAGCTACAGGCGAAGCTATTGTTCACTCACAATAAAGTGACAGTAAAGTAATTTTTAGTGTGCCACGTTTTATTTCATTTTCATTGCATGTTCCTGCAACTGACCTGCACCTGAAAACATAGGTTGTCTGTGCACGTGGTACCGTGCTGGTCATTAATATCACTTTTTACTTTAACCTCCATGCCCCGCCCTCTTGTCCCTACCAGAGCCTTGGCGTTAGGGTTGGCCTTCTTGTCCACGATGAGCTTTGCCACCTTGTAGTGACCACAGTGAGCGGCGACGTGCAGCGCCGTCAGGTAGTCATTGGTAACGTCATCCACTGGGACGTCATGCTGGAGCAGGAACTGGACACAGTTCAGGTGGTCCCCCTGAGTGGCCATGTGGAGCGGAGACAGGCCGTTCTATAGTGGGAGGGAAAGAGAGGGAAAGAAAGAGAGAGAGAGGGAGAGAAAGAGAAAGAGACAGAAACAAACACACACGCAGACGGACACATAGACAGATGGACAGACAGACACAGTAAGTTAGGGCGTGACTGTACGCTGCACAGACAGACTGTGAAGGAAGTTGCTGAGAAGGTTACAGGAGCATTGTTATAACGAGGTCATTACAACAATGTCTATTTTGTTACACTGGTCGTCCTGCGCGGTCAAACTGTAGGGCTACGCCGCGGAGACAGGCTGTTCTGGAGAGGCCGCACACACGTTATGGAGACAATGCGACAACACTACAGCAACAACAACAGTCCTGCTATGTGATTGGTTAACAGATTGTTAAATAAAAAGTTTGGTCAAGCTAGTTTAAACAAACAAAAATGAACTGTAATCTATTTCCTGTTTTATAAAAGCTGTTGTAAAAAACTTTGACTTCCTGTTCTAAGCTAAGCAGCGTCTCCTAAATGAATCGTCCCAGTAGCTACCTTGGTCTTGGACAGGAAAGGAGCTCCTCGGTCTAGTAGGATCTCTACCACCTGCTCGTGCCCGCTCCTCGCGCCACAGTGAAGAGGTGTTAGCCCGTCCTAAAAAAGAAAAATGATAGCAAAGGTTCCTAACAAATCACAGGAGACAAAATAAAAACATGATCCCTTTCCTATCTTCAATTTTAAAATCAAATGTATTAGGCACTGCATACTGTGGTGTGCACTAGTGTTGCATCTTTATAATTATACAAAGAGCACAATGAGACCTAATCTATATGTAGGTAAAGTGTCATGAAATAACTTTTAAGTGATTTGGTTCTGTATAAATAAAAACAGGTTGATTGAATTTGAGTGTTGTATTGCAGCCACATTTTTAAAATGAATATTTTACATGGGTTGAGAAAACCATTTGATGACGTGGTCAAATGGTTAATGTGACATATTACAAATCTCTGAATCAAACTACTTAACAAACATAATTAAGTAACTGATAGATAAACTTCACAAAACAGCAGGAAACACCACTGACTAAGGTGTTGTATGGAGGTTTTTTCCCCCACCAAATAGCTGCTCTTTACTCATCTGTAAGCATACTGGTGAATAAGAACCATTTGTAAAATGTGCATTGAAGACAGAAAAGTCAGCCTGATAAACTTCAGGAAATGATTTCTACTTTCTTTAGAAATCCAGTATAACCAGGATACTTCAAGGAGACTTAATATTCTTCATTTCGGTACTCCTTGCATTTTTTTAAAGGACGCCTTGGTCTGAGCTCCTACCTTGGTCTTTGCATCGATTTTGGACCCTCTGTCCAGCAACAACTTGACCATGTTGCTGTTTCCCCGTTTTGATGCCACATGTAGCGGTGTGATGTCATTCTGAACAAAAAAAAGTGGAAATCAAGGTTTAATTCCGCAGTCACATCAGATGTTTAAGTTTAAAATTACAACATTGACCCCTCGTCTATTCAAAATATATAATTAAATCAAAATGATTAAATAGATCTGAAACATGTTACCCTGTGGACTGTAGATTGTAGTGCTTGTATTTGCTTAATACTAACCCAACGCCCACTTGATTAAAGGGACATAGCATTTCATTATCTAATTGGATAGATAAATAGCTCCACTGTTAAACACTATCTCTCCTCACTGCTGAAGCATGACTTTTAAGTTCCAACCTGTAATCAGTGTCAAAAAGCAGCACACACACACACACATACACACACACAAACACTCCTCTGCACACCCATTGATATAATTACAGACCAATGCTGGATGTAAATAGCTAATGTCTGGGGTATAAAACAAACACATTTGAATGGTACCCACTCTTTTTTTAAATATCCACATCAACCAGCGACAATCCTACTCTTCTAATGACATCACAGCATTTCGCAGTGAGACTGCAGCCATGTGAAGTGAAGTGATGCAACTGTAATGAACACTCAGAGGCATCTCATCTAATGTGACACGTATACTGCTGTTTATTCTGTTTAACGGAGAGGAAGGATTATTTTCCTAATGCCCACTGGAAATAAATGATAATCATGCCCACTTGCATTGTTTACAGAATGAATGCACATGCAGAAAAATTCAATTATGTTAGAAAACTATACAAACCATAAGACAAGCTGACAATAGAATTACTTATACTTATATAGCTTTTTATTTTCAAACCTAAATGTTATTATTCACCTATATTATTATTATTATTATATTTATTGTTCGCTTACAAAAAAAGTGACAGTAAAGTAATTTTTGTTGTGCAGCGGATTATAAAAATAAGCATATGTTAGCATTATATATCCCTGTTGTTCACCTTTAATGTTTGTAGTAGTACCCCTCCCAAACAGCAGAGGGCAGAAAAAACTCACCCGAGCCATGAAGTCCACAGCTGCCCCTCTGTTCAGCAGTAGCGTGGCCACGTTTATGTTGCCATAGTGAGCGGCGATGTGTAAGGGGGTGAAACCACTCTGATGATTTGAGAGAGGCGGACACACACAAAATCAGACACACACACGCGCACACACACAGGCACACACACACACACACACACGCACACAAATTACAAACTATGAAACAGACAACACATGTAGAGTTCAGTTCAGACCTTTACACTGTTTACAGCAGTCTAAACATGTGGTGGACGTACAGTCACAAACTATCAGACAAGGACACACTCTACTACACACTGTAACACCTGACCTTCCTCACAGTATCAGAGAAAGTCCCTTTTAATGAAGCATCAACCATGGACCAACAGAGTGCTGACAACTAGAGAGGTTTAGATTCAGACCTTTAATGTGTGGCATGGTACTAAAATATGACTCATTAGACTAAAATAGTGAGAGGAAAAAAAAATCCTGAAATAGGCCTTTCTGAATATATAACTCACATTTCAAAACTCTGAAGGTAAAAGCTGATAATCTATACAATCTCATTTAAAACATCCTGATGATCTTAGTGTGCAAAATTTGTCCTGCAAATGACCCTAATGTCCATGTGTTCACATCTTGAGTTAGAGTTAATTTCCTGGCAAAACCCCCTGGCTTAGAGAGTAACAGCTGTGAAAGCAACAGAAGAACACTGGAAACAATCTCTTCAATGATTAAATGAGTCTCATATTAGGCTATCTAAATATCAGAATCGCAAAATCAAACAACCAATAATCCAGCGGGGAGCAGGTGTCTCTCACATCCTCTGCTTGACACCTGGAGTCCCATTCAAAAACACTACAAGTATGAATCATTTTGGAAGATATTTTCTCACCTCAAAGTAAGGTAACTGCACAATCTGTTTTGTGTAAGTGTAATTAAAATCATACAGTACTATATACTATATGTGAGCTGCTTTCTGTAACTTTCCTTTTTCCAATATAAATGTTGTTTACCACGATGCAGGGCCTCAGATCAACAGAGCAGTTTTTGGATGAATCATATCAGATAAGTGGTCAGCCTGCCAAAGCCTGAAACAATGCCAACCAAAACAGGCACACACACAGAGTGTGACCGCCTGGCTTTGGTGTGACGAATGGGTCCTTGTTACCACAGAAGCAGAGTTGAGGTTGCTTGTTTTTTTGTTGTTGTTTTTTTGTTGTTGTTTTTTTTTTTTGGTCCCATGCGAAATGCTTTAGGTGCCATGGTTCATAACTAGAAGTTCCTAAATCTAAGAAAAGCACTAAGTACACTGAAAAGACTTTCCTTTTATGTTCTAGAAGGCTTGGCTCCTTCACAGCTTGGAGGGGGTTTGGTTGCCATGCAGGTTATTGACAAACCATCGTTATCCAATGAATGATAACCACATTTCATGCTAACACAGGTTATCATGTTAATCAGTTTCATGGACGGACTGTCACATAAAGACAACATTTTGTCAACAGTCAAGAATATTTTGCCAAAAATAACAGCGGAAGCTTCAATTTTGGACACCATGAAACTATTAGGACATAGCAAACAAACCTAGACACCCAAGTCCCCAGCCTGTCGGTATTAGTGAAACATGCGCTACTCCTCTATGACTTCCTCTATGGCTACAGATACATGAATCAAGCAATGCAGAAGAACATGAGAGTTAAAATGGAAAAGGGGAGTGAAAAAGGGCTGCAGAATCACTACTGCATCAAGTCAGGGGCACTGAAGTGTTTGTTGTTGTTTTCCACAGTTTATATGACTTGCGATGGAGAGGACTAAGTAATGTACAGAGTAGAGGTGTACCTCTGTTGTTCTATTCACCATCATCTACAATGTCAGCCAAGAGAGGAGAGAACGGGCAGTTAGTGAGCAAAAAAAAACAGAGAAGAGCCTCCACTGACAGGCAGGGAGGAGCAGAGAGAGGGGAGAAGGAGCTCAGTGAAAGACAATATAACGCGAAAAGAAAAAAAAAATTCATAAAGAAGATTTTAAGTTTGACAAACATACAATTAAAAAAACATGCACATTTCCCCTTTTTTTGCCAAAAGAGCATTGAAGGGAAGATTAAACCAAGACAGAAGAAGAGAAAAATTCAGCGGGTAATAAAACTTGCATCAATAATTAAAAAAAACAATTAAACAATCAAAGAATGAGATTAAAAAAGAAAAAAAAGAAAGAAGCAACCATCTGAAGCTCCACCACCAGCACCAGAGACTGTCCTCATCAGCTACAGGACTCACCTTGGACTCAACGTCAGCGTTGTGGTCGTTCTGTAGGAGCAGGGCCGCGGCCTTGGTGTCGTCCTTGCGGGCAGCGATGTGCAGGGCAGGTAGTCGTACCTTGCCCTTTGTATCGTTCTCCAAAAGCAGGGAGACGACCTGGTCATGGCCCTGCTGTAGCGCCACTGCCAGAGGGGTGAAGCCATCCTGCAGGTGAGGGCAAACAGAGAGGTGCTCACTGGGGCCGTATCAACTATAGTGTATGATTGGATGGGTTATATGGGTAGGGGGTAGGTTAGGAGCAGGTTATCTGATCTTTGGGGCTCCATAACAACTTTTGCTGGATTATAAGGTGAGCAAAGCAAGACTCCTGAGTACTGCAGAAGTTTTAGAGCATGTTTTACTAATAGATATACAAAATATATGTAAAAAATATACTTGAGTCTGAAGGAGAAGACGCTGAAAGTCAGTCAGCAGGTTCTCGTCCTAAATTGTCAAATACTGTTCTTCACAGCCCTTGACGTCTCATACAGAGGCTCAAACTATCCTTAACTGTCCATAAGAGACGCACCAGGCTTTAGAATAACTCTTTGCTCATATAGACCTATATATACCTTTTATAAGGTAAAACCCGCCTTTTTATCATTTCTTATTATAAACATGTAACTGTTCATCAGGCAACTTTTGGTTTTACAACCGTATTTAGAACGCCTGGGTATAAGAGGCTTATCAAACATAAAGGATCTAAACATTTTTCATAATACTAAATCAAGTGAAACTACAAAATTGTGTTTAATTATGAGAATTTCTCCTGAGCCAGATAAGAAATTGCCTTTTGATCATAAATGGTGGTTCAATTAGTTTGCTTTTAAGTTTCCATTATCTACTCTCTGGTTTTACTTTTGAATGGCTCCTTGGGACATCTCGATAAAATGATCTTATTGATACTTAAAACAAAAACAAACTCTTGAATTCAGACCTTGAGACCGTTTGATCTGATAACAGCATTTAGAGCAGTAAATCTCAACTGAACATGCTGTTTGACAAACAGATGTTGAGGATTCTGAACATTTCCTGCCTGCTCACCATATAGGACACTAATGGCAGTTACATAATGAGAGGAGAGGATGGAAAAGGCCCACGTCTCTCTCCCACACACACACACACCACAGATGCATAATTCAGCTGAGAGCTTCCACTGCATATTGTAGGTTTGAATGTGTTTGCACGGAGAAGAAATAGTGAGCGAGTGTTCATTTGTCATCTGCACAAGAATGGAATGTGTGTGTGTGTGTGTGTACATGTGAGGAAATGTTCTATCTGTATTGAAGTCCTAAGAGGAATCATGTGTTCCAACATGTGGCTAAAATATGTAAACAAACAAACTGTTGACCTGGGGTTTCCATCCCACATGCCTGTGTGTGTGTGTGTGTGTGTACGTGTGGGGAATCTTAAAGAGTATGTGTGTGTGTTCCACAGGCTGAGCAGCGTATATCAGAGCAATAATGGCAGCAGCACCCGTGGAGGAGAGGCAGCGAGCGGAGAGGACCTCATCTGTGACCCGCTCAAGGTCACTCTGCCTCCTCCACCACCATACACTACCAATCAATGAGCTCTGCCTAGTCCCTCATGAAGAGACAGGGTGGGAGGAAGGAGGGAAGGGGAGGAGGCGGGGCAGGGCGGGCAAAGAGGGATGATGGGAAGACGGAGCGGGAATGTGAGACAGAGAAGATGAGAAACAGATACAGAGAGACGGGGAAAAGAAGAGAGGAGGACAAAGAGACAAAGTGCAGAGTCAGCAGGGTGAGGGGGGTGGTAAAAGGAGGAAACAGAGGAAGAAAGGAGATGAAGGTGGTTAGTACAACAGATGTAAAGACCTAACATGACTGAGACAGAAACATACTGTACGACTAGAAGTGCACACATTTATCCAGCACACACATATATATATATACAGTAAGCACACTCTCAAATGTATACAGTACCTCAGTGGCCATACTCTGGCTGGCGCTGTTCTCCAGAAGGAACCGCACCACCTCAAGGTGGTTCTCCTGGGCTGCCATGTACAGAGGGGTGAAGCCATTCTGAAACAAGAAACCACATATACATTCATACATCAGACTCAAGACTCAGCTTTGCTACAATGCTGAAAAAGCAGTTTTATTTTGTCCAGGATTTTTTATTTTTATTTTTTTTCTGATTCTAGGAGTTTTTTTCAACATGTGTCTGTGCCTCAGTGGTAAAGTGGGTCATCTCTCAATCAAAATATTAACAATTTCAATCCCCTACTCCTGCAGTCTACATGTCAAAGTCAATGAACACTAAGGTCACTGAACACTGACGCAGGAGCTAAAAAAATATATTTATGATACATTTCTAGTTACTTAAAACAAAAGAAACTTTCCAATTTGAATTTATTGCACTTGTAACAAGTTGTTTTGTCAATACAGTATCTCCTTTTCATCCTTGGCTGAACTGTAATGTGAACCAAAGGAAGGATTGAGATTCTTCACTCTCTTTCAGAGTTTAGGATTTTGATTTCTAGCCACTTTGTTTCCAGTCTTTTAATCAATCTATATTGTCTATGTAATTGATTATAAGTGTTTGTTGTTTGTTTGTGTGTGTTCTTGTTTTATAGTGAATGTAATCTCGCAGCACTAGAAATGAGGGAAACCTTCATGTCTTTTGGAGAATAAATAAAGGTTTGAAATGAAATGAAATAATAGACAAAACTGAGTGTTAGATACACAGACACAAACATCTCACTGAGAAATCGCTAAGACTTATCTGTTGCTGTTACATAAAATACTCGCTGTTTCGGGGGTTTGTAAAGAACAAAAGGAAAGACCAGTGCTTGAAATCTTTCCTGTCACCTTGATCTGAGAGCGCTCAACGTAAAATGCAAAGACAGCAGCTTCCCTGAGAGGCAGAGGCCTAGTTGGCACGAAGCCAGAGTGTGTCAATGAGGATCGTTCCTCTGAGCGATTCCCTCAATGTGATGCAGTAGCATTCAAACTGTTGGGTGCATCACAGCAGTCATTAAAGTTATACTAAAAATCTTAAATTAACTGTATATCACGAGGACCACGTGGTCATTTTGACATTCATTGCGTGCATGCGCGTGTCTGCACATGTGTAGTAAATCCCACCTGAGATTGTGCGTTGACATTGGCTCCATTAGTGACCAGCTCTTTGACGACTTCCGTTTGGCCGGCCAGAGAGGCTATGTGCAGAGCAGTGTTTCCTTTCTGGATTACATGAAACAAGCAGAGGAATGTGCGTTAAGCTCTGCTCCACCTGTCCCACTGTGTCATTGTGTGTGTTAGTGTCCTGTACATATCCATGTCAGGATCACTGTGCTAAAGTGACGCCAACCACACTTCTGGCGTTCCTGTTCCTGGCATGCCCCCTGCCTGCTCTGCCAACAATGTGTCACTTCCGATAGCCCACGTCGCTCACATAAATGAGTCCCCCGCTGAGCCTCGGCTGTAAATAAAACTACAGGAGGCTTTTTATGAACCTGTGCAGGTCGTTGCGCAGTCAGAGCTGACCCCCCAGCCTTTCTGCTGGCTGCATGATACTGGGCTCGGATATTCACAAGAAGGGTTGTGAAGCAAGTACTTATCATCTGTCACGTACTGTAAACTGGAGCTGGAAGATCAGATAGGCATTCTGAGGCACAGGGCAGATTCATAAAGCAGCAAAGGACTGTTTGCTAAATAAAGAAAATAGTTTGTGTGCTTTAGTGACACTTTGCGAACTGTGAGGATTAAACTATCAGTTTAAAATGGTAACTATAAATTGAAGCTGTTTTAATCCGTGTTATGTGTTATCTCACTGACTTTGCTCTACCAAAGCCTTTTCAAAGATTATGGCCTTCTGTATGGATACAATTAATGCCATGGAATTGTAATTCTCATCGTAACTTGTTCTTTGTTGAGAGTGGCATTCAGTCCACTCAGTGTTTTTAAGAAGTGAAGACACTAATAGACAGCCAGACTACCTTTTTATTGATTTGCCATCATTCAATCATAACATTATTTTTTTCTGCCATGGTTTTTGTTCACAGCTAAAAAAAAAAAAACTGACAATAATATTAGCCAAGTACTGCATGACTTTTCTGGAAACAGTTCAGTTCAGATGCAGGTGTGTTATGCTAGTAGTAGCTAATATAGCCTTGGGCTGCATGTCTCTAACATAGATCAGGGGGGAGTTACAGAAGTGTAGTAAACTCCTCTTTGTTTTTTTTAGCTCCACAGATTTTGGAACTTGAAGTTTTTAGCCCCAACCAATGCTTCCTAAAGTGACATCACCCAAACCAACAATGGCCACACCCCTGTGCCCTTGCACAAAACCCTGAACTAAAGATTTGCACTGATAGCAATTACCTCCCCAAAAAATGACATGTAGAATTTAAGAAAAAAATCATTATAATTTAAATGTAATTCCTAACAGTTAGGACTGGACCATAAACACCTCTACGGCATAAACGTGTGAACGGAAAAACTTTCTCTGAAAGGTAAATGAACTCCTCTCTGACACGTTCCACATTGTAAGCTGCAAAAGTGTTTCTCGAGGCTAATGAACCGAGGAAAAAGCCTGTTGTTTAATTCTTCCACATCAAGCTACAACAAACTTAACTGGAGCTATTAAAACACCCCAAAAGCCTCAATTTAAACACTCTGTGACTGCAGTTAGTTATCCTCGATAGCAATGTCCTCCTGATTATCTTCATCAGCTGCATAAAATAGAAATTTACAGACATCGGGGTGCAGGCAGTGGATTCCCAAGTTCTCAAACTAATCCCCAAACATCCTCGGGGTCACAAAAGAGAGACGCTTTAATTGGGGAGATTTACTCCTTGATGTTGAATATTTCATCGTGCCCTGTGTTTACGTCTGCACTAGGCTTGTGGCCTGTGGCAGAGAGGCTGAACCACATGTTAAATAGGAGTGAAAAAACCTTCTGGGATCAAATTTGAATATTTTTTTCAATGGCTCTCCTTTCAACGTTTAGCATTAGAGTAAAGATGCTTCAAAATAAATAAAAAACACAAGATTAAGTACAACACTACTACTGTTTCTGATTTGGCCTACCTTTTTTCCTTCTTACAAATACTTCCAACAAAAACTCTTGACTGAAGTTACTCTAAACCTCTCTTGCTGTACTCTGACATACATTTCTTTTTCCTGCTTATTCCTCTCTCCTTTTTTTCCAGCAGCAATCCCCATGGCTATCATTAAATATTGATCCATTAACAAGCCCCAACAAAGGCTGCACACTTACAGCAGTCACACTGTAGCTGCATGCTGTTTAATCCTGCAGCACAGCCATGTTTTTGTACTGGATCCAAATATAGTCCATCTGAGCCATGATAGGTGACGGGGGGCGGGTCTTACCTTAGTGGCTGCATCCACAGCGGCTTCGAGCTTCAGCAGCTCAGCAACAACCTCTACATGCCCCTCCTTGGAGGCTAGATGGAGAGCGTTTAGACCATTCTGAGGAGCAAACACATTTAGTGGCATATGTGTAACTCATACCCTAGGTGAGTTAATGTGTCATTGTGGGTAAATGGTGATGGTGGGGGACCCTGCTTGTTACAGCGGTCAGGTGTAAGTGTGAAGAAACAAATAATCCATTGTTCTTCTCACAGGAGCAAAAACACTCACAGGTACATTTTGGTTTCTCGCTAAGAGAGTCAGAAAACTTACCTGATTGCAAATGTTGATCTCAACCCCAGACTTGAGGTAGTCGAGGACCTTTTCAAGGTTTCCTGCCCGGGCAGCTCGCAGGTAACTTGCATTACTGTCAGACTGGGGAGGAGGAATGAGAGAAAGAGAGGCAGAAAATAAAGAGAGAGAAGAAAAAGAGAGGAGTGAGTATGGCATTTCAGACTATGGCAACATGCTGATCGTAAATAAACTATCAGCCTTCTATTTACACAGCATGGGCTGAAATGTTACTGTACCAGGTAGAACTCTGTCATAGTTCCTCAGAAATCCTCAAACATCTTAACAGGGGGAAAAACAAAGTCAACATCCGCACATGCAGCAGATCCATCGTCCATTTACAAGCCATATAAAGTCCACTGAACGCTCAGCATCTCCAAAAGTGAATCCATGAGAAAGCTAACAGCGGCACAGTGTTTCATCCCAACAATTCACGTCATTCCCGTCATCCATCATATCCCAGCGGACCACTACTCCAGCTTTACATCCAAACGTCCCTGATGTCCAGAATGTAGGAAGTTCAGTGACCGGGTGGTCCTTCAAATCGCCACAGAGACCTCCTCTCCTGCACAAACATCTCCTCTGAATACAACAGTGTAGTCGCTGTGCTACGAGGAGCAGAGCATTATCTATTCTGCTCAGCTGTCCTTTACATCACTACAGAAATAGAGCTTTGCACACCAAAATAAAATGATGAGGCAAGCATGTTTTTGCCCCTTTAATAAATGCAGTGTGTATGTACGCGCATGCTTGTGTGTGAGAGAGGAGGAGAAAGGGACGGGGGTGGGGGGGTTGGGGGGGGGCATCAACTGAAGGATGAGACAAAGAAAAAGAGTCGGAGAGAATAAGAGAGGGAGGTTGTGATTCTTCAATATGCTCATGTAAGCTCCTTGGACATTTGGTTTGACACAAAATGACACAAAGCAAACTCTGCACATTTTGTTTTTGCTTCTTCGCGGCAGCTTTGCGAAGAGCATTTTGTAAAATCAGCACTGGAGCAGCTGAGAGCGGGAAGCTGTGATACTCCGCTTCCTAATAGCGGCTCAAAAACTAAATTCCCTTGAATTATCAAAAGCCCAGACCTGCTATTTTTAGCACCGTGGCCAGAGACACTTAGGATAAACTCAGTAGGGCAAAACGGGTACGAGCACTTATCCAACATTGTCCTCTCTACCTCCCCCTCACCGCGTTTTTTCCAAAAATAACTCTGACGAACATGGAAGCATCTGACCCAAAGCCAAAATGTGAGACAACCAGATTCAAATCTTGTTTTTGTGATAAACTGTGCGAGGAAAATATTTGTGTCTGTGTGTGCTCAAAGAGGTTGTTTAGTCAAACAAATTAATGGCAGATTAAGCTGTGTTAGCTGGAAACCAAGTCATTTCCTGAATATAAGAGACCATTAAGCTGCAGATCACATCTCTGCATCCAATCAGCCGACATCTAGAAAAAATCTTCTCCCTTATTCCCCACAGAGAGCAGTGTGACAGCATTGAACCGCTAATGATATTTCTGTTCTTGTGGCCTTGAGAAAAAGTCATGAAACAAGAGAGTGTGTCACTGGCACAGAGCCCGAACCTGCGCGAAAATAAGCGATGGGTCAAGAACAATAACAAGTAATATAACAGCCGCTACCTTTGAAAGGTGCATACTGAGCAGTGTTAAAAGTTTTAAAGAGGCATTATAAATGTTTGAGATAATGTTTTAAGAATGAGGCTGTTGGAAGCAATCAGCTGAGAGTAGCAGCTGCCAAAGAATCGACTGCTGCACTGACTGTCGCACACAGCCTGAGAAAAACCCAGAAACACCTGCAGCCAAACTGTAAACTATTTGTAGATAGATTATGATGGAATCTAGGTGAACACTCTAAGCTTTTCGCATTGCTTGTCTGATTGTGTTTATATGAGTTTGGTAATTAATGGAGTCTACTTGTGTACCAGAATGTGTTTTGATCCTGTTATTCTTGATAATACCCAGAATAAAATCCGAACATACACAGCAACAAACAGAAAACTAACAAGAATTTATTTTTAAAAAGTTGCAATAGGGGTGCCGGTGGACGAGTGGTTGTACAGAGGCTCTAGTCCTCGTAGCGGGCAGCCCGGGTTCAAATCCGACCTGTGGCTCCTTTTCCACATGTCATTCCAAGCTTGCTCTCTCTCTCTCTCTCTCTCTCTCTCTCTGATTTCTAACTCTATCTATCTTTCTACCCTATCTCTACAATAAAGGCATAAAAAGCCCAAAAATAAATCTTTAAAAAAAAAAGTTGCAATCAAAAAACAAAGTCAGAACATTTGTTTCCATGACAATGCAAATATTACACATAAATATATTCATGATCTGAATCTGATTTCAATGATATAACATTACACATTATTACCACTATAAGACTGGGCTCTCCTGTACTCTTCCTCATTTGCCTTATTGATGTTCTTCTTCATCTCCTCATGGCGGTGTTTACTAAATACCGCTTCACTTTCTTTTTTTACTGTCTTGACAGAACAAAGACGTAATCAAAACACGTCCTACCATAGCTTTGTTATAACACATCTCACTGCATTTGAATTTTAAGACTTGCTTGAACTTTTCTGTTATTTTTATTTGTATTTTTTGATGTTTATCAACCTTTCTTCTGTTTCATTCCTTTCGTGAATTCTCTGGTATAACTTTCAACATGAACTTAATATTGTGCTCAGAACATCACCATCCAGCCTCGCATCTCCATCTATTATTCAAGTCAAAGTTCTCCCACATAATAAAATATCTATGCGGCATGTGTTTGCAAGTCTGCATGCTGGTACACATCAGAACAGTTGTCCAGTGTCTTACATAACCGACATGTGTCCTTTTTGTGCGCCAAGCTGTGTACAGCATGACTGAGTGACCCATGACTGTCAGAGCTTTGTTGTCACCAAATGCTTGACCGCTCTAAAACCTCTGACATGGAAGTACACGGATCACAGGCAACTAACATGCAAACAACTCAGAGATTTACACCATCGAATATTATCTTAGTAAGTAGATATGTCATACTGTAGTCATAGACTTAAACAATGGTACATTAACATACTTCCTTTGCTCTTACATTTAACATGTTTCTTTGAAGTTACCATCTTCAAATATCTTCTAGCGCTCCCTCATCCCGAGCTTAAGTGCCAACAGATTAAGTAGTCTTCTTCCATAAGTCACTCTTCATCACTCTCTCGCTGGTTTATCCCTTAATGCCATGTGACCAACATGTCCGAGCCTCCATCCGCATCATCTACGTCCAGCATGAGGGATCTTCAAGTCTTTGTGAATGAAGCATTTACACGGGACAGGGCGAGAGATTAGTAAGAGAAATATCATTAAGCCTCAGCAGATCAGAGGTTCAAAGAAAATGGGGCCATTAAAGACTAGGTTAAGCCTGAAGGAAAGCATTAATCTAATGCTGGATTGGAGGGAGAGGATGAGAGGGAGATGCATAGAAAGGGAAGTCTGACACACGAGTGAAAACCAGAAAAGCTCAGAATTATATCACTCCCAATTACAGAGTCGAAAATGCAGCTAATTTCCGGGTAAGTTGCTGTAAAGACCACAATTAACCATCCGAGCTCTAATTAAAAACACCCTCTGGTCACTGACTTGGTGTCTGCACATGCTCTAAAAAAGAGAAATACTACATGAAAGTGAAGCCTCAGTACTGCTAATAGGTTATCACACCTCTACTTCTTATTAAGATACTTTTAAAGGCATACTTTTGAAGAGGACCAACCTATTTAAGCTTAAAGCTAAAAACCTATCTCAGCTGGATCGATATTTTTGAAGTGACATTGTCCCCTAGAATTTGACCTTAACGCTGTAGGCAGATTTCCCACTCTTTTGTAAACAGCTGATGAATAAGTGCGGTATGGCTGATTACTATATATGATTTAGCAATTGTAAAATGTAAAATTCCCATTGAAAGACCTTTTTCCCCCCAAAATGCCTATTTTTTTACATCCAAAGAATCAACTTCTAATTCAATACTCCCAACTTCTATAATGAAGTTTTTCAGTATACAAAGTGTTTATAATGAAAAAGCATACTCAAGAAAGACATTTGCATAAACAATTGAGGAATCCCTATCCCTTTTCTAAAAAAAGACTAGGACAAAGGAAATGAAGAAGTGACATAGAAAACCTTAGATAAATTGCAAACTGAGATCAAATTATTTTCCACAAAGACTTTCAACTTACAAAAAAAGAATAGCTCATTCATTTGCCTTCACCTCTTTGAATTTTAATTGGTACTTTCAGAACAAAGCTGTAGTTTGTTCAGTTATTATTTAAGAGCCCTCAAGAATGAATTGATGAAAAAATATTTTGATTTATTTTATATTTATGGCAGAATACATATGGCACTTAGAAGTATAAAGTTCTGAAATGGTAGACAGTATCTCATGAAAAACACTGAGCAGACAGGTTTTGGGGTGCCTCACATCGCCTTTATTCTATGAATGAAGACTCATGATGTTTAGAGCTGCACAGCGTTTGTTTTCATTTGTGCTGATTCTGTACTTGGCACTTTTTCTCTTATGACATCAGTGCAATGGATTGAGGATATTTAGATGTATAAAGACTGATAACACCAAGCTGCCAGACTGCAATGATGTCAGTTTGGCACTGTGCACTGAGAATGCCACAAAACAAAAACCTGACATCCATGTCTGAAAATGCATTTACAAATGTCTGCACACATTTACACGCTGGCTAATTCAATTATATGTAGGCTGCAGCATAATACACAAACACAGACACACATGTTGAGGTGACTTGTGTTAGATCTGGGGGTAACTGAGTGAGCTTATAAGAGTAGAGCCAGACCAGCAGCGGCCGTATTGTTTCACTTTATCCCCTTCTCTCCTGACATCACAAAACACACAGCGATCCACAGCCCTACCAGCACAAAGACAGGGACATCCAACAGCAGACCACAACACCCAGTGGTGCCAAACAGCCTCACAGCACCAACCACAACATCCATTCCTCTTGTCTAGAAAGTGTAAAACGTCCCCAAAATCCCCTGCCTGCTAAGTCCTCCAAAGTACTGATTTCTATATTCTT